TTCAGACGTATTGTCTCGGTCCTCGTCTATGTACTGTACTGTAGCTAGCCTGGAATGTCTCTCGGCTGTCGGTTGCCCGTAGGTTTCCTCTCCAAGAAAAAGCACGGGCTGTTTGGCGGTATGGCTGCTCTAGCGACCACAACCACGCGCAATGGCTGGCTCAACGGGCTTCTTTAGCACCTGAGCAACGTCGAGCCCAGCTTCTTGTTCAGGCACAAAAGCACAGACGAGGCTTTATCAGCCCATCTCAACCAATTCCTAACGTATACTCATTATTGAGAACGCAAACAGAGAGTAGAGAATGAGACCAGAGCCAAATAGAGCGTGTGAGAAAAGCCCTTTCACTAACATGGGGCTGGGCTGTTGAGAGTCTAGCCCACACCCACAGGCCAAGGATGAAAAGAAGTTTAGACAGTGCATCAGCGTCAACATGATTACGACATTATTGTAGTATCGTCCCCTCACTGGCCCTCACCGTGTAGCCTGTGGCTTTCCGACTTTCTTTTCCCTCTTTCTTTCTTTTTATTTTCTTCTTCTGTCATCAAGGGCTTGACTTCCAGCCAGCCGTGTCCTTGCATCAAGAGAGAGAAAAAATCTGACAGCCCCAGCAGCAAATCCACACACACCCACTCACACACACTCACACTCTGGCGCGGTCAAGTCAAGTCACCCAACAAGCAATTATCACAGCTAGAGAGGCCAAGGGCTTTTGTGTGTGCGTGTGGCATGCCAGCTCCGTACCAAGGCGACCCGACAGATTGTGTCATGCTCTCGCGCTAAGTTGGGCTGGCCAATCCCCTTGCTCTACCCCAGCCCAAATCTGCCCCTTCCTGGTTCCTTTTCAGGTTCCTTTTTCCAGGCCCGGTCCAGGGAGTGCCAGGTTTCTCTTATTTGGGGGCGCCTCTCATCCGACCGACGCCCTCTGCATTGCGCTTCGCTGCACGTCCGCTTGTTTCTTACAGCCTGCGAGACAGTACGTACCGGCTGCGTCAGTCACTGCTTGTCGTCGAGTCGAGTTTTTTTTCCCTCCTCTGCTGGCGTCGACGCCTCGAGTAGGGCGGATATAGGTACGGCCGGGTACATCAAGATCGTCACCTCTCCCACTTCTTCCAGCACTACGCCCACCTCCACTGGCACCCCGTCGTTTACACCCACCGTCACTCCCGCCGACCACCACCACCTCTACTTGACCTAAACACCACTTTCTACGACAATAAACCACTTCGCTGCATCATCAACGTTTTTTCTCGCCTTCGGTGCGCCATTACCACTGGGCTGCTTCTTCCTGCATACCGTTGAACCTTGCTCTGCTTCCGTTTTACTGCCAACTTCTCTCACCCCCCTGTCTTCGCCTTCTGTCGACCCAACCATCCCGCCCGTCCGCTCGTGTCGTCTGCCACCTTCATCGACAGACTTGCGCAAGCTGCCGCCCGGAATAGGTTGGGTTTTGGTGTCTGGATCTCTACCTTGCGCCCTTCTCACCACATACCCGCGCTCTCGAGGCCCTCGATCTCGCCCACGCCCCCCAATGACGAAGAGCCAACCACGATGATCCATCTTGAAGCCTGCATCGCCATTCATCGTCCCTGCTAAGGCCCGCCCCGGTGGCATGCTATGCTCCCTCGACTTTCACTCCACCAATCTTGCAGGCTACCGTAATCATGGACAAGTCATCTGCCGTCTCTGACGGCCCTTCCGGCCTCGGCCGTACTGCATCTAGCTTGTCCGATAGACTACGCTCCAATACTCCCGATCCTTCTGCTACCTCATCAACAACTACAACCACAACAGGCAGCCAGAACTCGAGACATTCTTCCACAAACAACTCTGTTGGCCCTTCGCCTCTTGCCTCCAGGGATTCATCACCCACACGACGCCCACGAAGGACTCCCTCAGCAAATCGACTCCCCGGTACTCGATCCCGCAAGAACAGCCAGACCGACCAGAGTCCCTCGCGTCCAACACGACCAAGCTACACTTCCGCCCCTTCGGCGCGCTCCTTGTCGTCAACAACAACCCCCACACTCCTCCCCTCGCAAGACCAGCAGCAAATTCAAGCGCCGACTCCACAAAAACCAGGTTTCAATACGGATCTGAGGGATAGCCATAGCCCGCGATGGCCAGTCTCGCCCCGCTTGCGATCGCCTCCTCCCCAGTTTAGCAGGCCTGGGATGCCTGCTCGCCGCAGTGAGCACGACCTGCCTTCTATCAACGTCCAACGACCTAGCCCTTCACCACAGCCAGTGGACCAGACCACGTCAGAGAGTGAGATGGAGGAATCACAATTCCCTTCTGGAATCAGGACCCCGGCCCGAGGGGCTCTGGAAACGGTTCAGGAAGTCAGCTTACCAAACTCTCCAAACCCTCCCAGCAACCCAGCTCTCGTAGAAAAGCTAAAGGAGAAGCTCTCCGGTGCTGAGAGCCATTCCGATACTGCGCTTGCCGATGCCCGGACCTTGCGAGCTCGAGCCAACTTGACCGGCCAAGAGAGCGGGAGCGACACCAGTAATAACAAGACTGAGCCGAGAAGAACGACGTCAGTCCCTCCGCCTATGATCACGCGACAGTCTAGTGCCATGTCGACGAAGCAGATGAAGGCGAAGCAGGACGGTTCTACACAAAGCATGACGGTTGAGACTGAAACAGTCCCGAGTGTTCCTCAAGTCGCTCTCGCAACCGGCCCGAAAAGCGAGGGTCCCAACGGTACTCTAAAGACGAAGCAAAGTACCGAGACTATTAAGCCCAAGAAAGAGAAGAAGAAAACGACGCGCAAGCAACCTGCCGTCAATACGGGGAATGGTAAGCTATCGCCTCGCCATGCGATAGAATGTGACTGCTAACAAATCTTAGCTTCATCGAAAGCAGATATTTTTGAGGCATCCATTGCGAGCGCTGTCGATGAGGCTAACACCTCGGACTCGGAGGAAACCTTTGTCTATGATTCTAACCCTCCAGATGGAAATGACCGAGCTGGACGGCGATTTCATTCTCGGACTCCCAGCGCGACCTCCATGGCCAGCCAGGCTGACCGTCAAAATCTGCGTTCCATCTACGGTATCATGGAGGGTCCTGGGCCTGCTCATGGACCTAAAAAGACGATGAAGTTTGTCAATACTTTCACTAGCAACGGAAACGACAACTTGACGGTTGGAGACGAAGACAAAGCCTCCAACCGTGGAGGCGGTAGCGGATCGACAAGAGGCACGGCAAGGCACCATCATCACATTGGTCGCTGGGGTCGTCAACCCGGCAATGGCCATCCTTCACTCTTTGATAACGAGTCTCCTTTCCCCAACGCGGCGAGAACCAAGCTTGCGGGAGCAAATTCTCGCAACTCATCTGGACCCCCAAGTCCGCGAAATGCCCATTCGAATCGAAACTTTGGTCATAAGCGTTCCGCGATGCAAATGTCATCGAACTATGACATGGACGATACGACTGGGGCGGACGACGAGCGTACGCCGCTCATCGGTTCAATTCGATCCGGACGCTCACAACGGAATCGGCGCGGGCCACACAATCTGCGACAGGCCGAGTCGCAGACATTTACGAGACGGTCGTCATACCTGAACCGGTTTGCGGCATGTCTGGTCCTCACCATGATGTTCATGCTGGTGATTACCGGTGCCATCGGTTTCATGTTTGCCACTTCACAGCCAATGACCGGAATCGAAATCACTGCCATTCACAACGTGGTGACCAGTGAACAAGTCTTGATGTTCGACCTGACCGTCAAGGCGCACAACCCTAATATCGTTGTCGTCACAATCGACCACGCAAACCTGGAAATATTTGCGAAGTCAGAGTACACGGGGACAGATTCAGATTGGTGGACACGTCCGCATAACCCAGGAGATATCCTACCTCGGGATGATCCTGTGAACGATCCACCACTGGACGACCCTGACCCCGACGACGACCTCAAACCCAATGTTCTGCTGGGACGGATCACGGAGTTCGACAGCCCTCTGACATTTGAGGGCTCTCTCTTTCACCAAGGCACCTCGTCGTCAACCGGCGAGATGCAGCTTGGATATCCACTGAACGGAACAGCAGGCGGCTCGCGACGATGGGAACGAATCTATCAGAACGAGTTTGACCTCATCGTCAAGGGTGTCGTTAAGTACACCCTTCCGATGAGCGCCCGCGTCCGTAGCGCGACGGTATCCGGAAGAAAGACAGTGAAGCCGAACTCAGCTAACGATCCATCCCACAAGCCGAACAGCACCACACTGGATCTTTCTAACTAGACGGGGTTCTGCCCGAAGAAAGGCGGAACCCCTTCTGGCCTTTCCTTTGTCACAACAACGAACGTTTGTCTTGTGTATTTTGAGCGCGCATGGCATGACATCTTGGGGATCGGCGGGCGTTGGATGTCAATTTCCAACCACATGATGGCTGATCATTAAAGGAACATGGAGATGCAAGATTTTGACTCATTGGTTTATAGACAGGGATAACGCCCATGCTTCCTGTCAGGTGTTTCTTGGGTGGTTTTTACGCGCGCTAGTTTCATTACTCCGAACGGCCGGCCTAACAAACACATTGTGTGTCGTGGTGCAAGTATGCCTTGCCACGGAGGTCTGGACGCGGAGAAGGGTTATGGATGGAGTTATTGCTTTTGTTTTTTCGTTCTACAAAACCTTATAGATGGAAAAGCGGCAACAATATGTTGTAATTGTAACGGCTTATGACAACACCAACAAACAAGAAAATTATGAGTCGCTGAGACTCGGGGGAGATGGAGGCTTGGAGCACATATGAGATACATAGGTGGAAATGAGAAAGGCATATCTTGCTGAACTTGATGTCTTTATAATTGAGCATGCTATTCGTAAAGACAAAAGGTATTGTATTGTATTGAATCTTGTAATATCTACTCTGAGAGCACGCTGTTCCATGTGAAGACGCCCCAACGCCATCTCTTTTATACGCCGACCTTGGCCCATTCATATCCGTCCACCCAGTACTCATTCAGACTTTTCAGATCGTAGAGCTTATCAAGAGAAGTGAATGCCCTCCTCGTTAAAGGCAAACAGGAGGCGGAGGAAGTCGTTTTCGTCACACTTTCCAGATCGCTTGTCGGCCAGCTCGGTCACGTCCTCGAGCACCTTGCGGATCTTCTCTCGGACGAGCTCGGCCACCTTTGTCTTCTTTCGCTTGCTCTTTGTCTTGGCGGTTGCTGAGTTTTGCATCTCCTTGAAGAAATCGGGGGCATCTTCATCTTCATCAACGTCCATGCCACCCTCCTCAGGCTCATTATCCTCCATGTCCATATCGTCGTCCTGACCGTCTTCCACCAGGGTGTCATCAACGGGAACGCCGTTCATGGCGCACCAAGTACGGTAATTTCGCTCAACCATGGCCAGCACCTCCTTGGTGCCGAGCCAACTCGCGCGAAGAGTCTTGTTCTTGCGAACGAAGCACACTCGCAGCAGTCCATCCCACTCATCCCAGCTGACGTTGGGGCGGTCCTTGCCCGTCTTGGGCTCGATACGAACAACAGAGGACTCGACTTGCGGCGGGGGGCGGAAGTTGTTCTTGCCGACCTTCATGATGTGGGTGATCTTGGCCCAGAACTGGGCGTTGACCGAGAGGCGGCAGTAGAGGGCGTCACCGGGACGGGCTGTCAGGCGTAGAGCGAATTCGCGCTGGAACATGAGAACTGAGGTACGAGGAGGGTTTGGGAGGGAGAGGAGCTTGAAGACGAGGGGACTGGAAATCTAGCCAAGAGTTGTTAGTACTTGCTCATGGTACTTTAACAGGGTCGGTATGGCATACTTGATAGGGAGTGTTTGATATGCAAACATCAAACTGCGGGAGCTCAGTCTTGATAACATCGCCCAGCAAGACCTCGAGTTTCCTCTGCTCTGGCGTTCCTTGCACACGCTTGGTGACTTCGGCCGCCATTCGGGGATCAACCTCAACACAGATACACTTCTTTGCACGCTCCAAGATGCGGACCGTCAAGTTACCGGTACCGGGACCGACTTCTAGAACTGTATCCGTAGGCTTGAGGAAGGCCTTTTCGACAATGGCATCCGAGACACCGGGGTTCTTGAGAATATGCTGGCCAAAGTTGGTGTTGAACTTGAAGACGTTGTTCTTATTGGAGTTGGAACCGCTTCCTCCTCCACTGCCGTTTGGTCGTTCGTACGGCGAGCTCGATGCGCTTCCGCGCTTGGCGTGCTTTATCTTGGCCATGGTGTAGTTAATTTGGCCTCGTCGTCGCTGGCTTTGCGATTCAAAATCACTAGAAATCAAATCGTGGGGTTCCTTGTTGAGGGGCCTTGGTGAACTTTTTTTCGGCGTTATCTTATCAATTCAGAGACAGGGTGTGCCAGTGTGTTTCAGGCAGGGTGTCAAAATACTCCACAAAATAGCCGGACCGTTGCCGGACTCGGTCGAAATTTTCACCCGTTTCATTTCTCTTTTGGACCTCTCCATCAGCCTCAGTCTACTGCCTAGACTTTGGTTTGTGGCTAAATTGGAGCTCTGTCGCGACATCTTTCTTTCTTCGAACCCAACTCATCACCTTCACTCAACGCAATCGCTCATTTCAACCTTTAATATCGGAAGCGCCAACACGCCCCGTCGCGAAAATGTCGGGACGACGCGACTTTCTCAACCAGCCAGCTCCTGAGAACTATGTTGCTGGTCTTGGACGAGGCGCAACAGGTTTCACGACACGATCCGATCTTGGTCCGGCTAGGGACGGTCCCAGCGAAGATCAGATCAAGGAGGCCCTTGCGAAGCGCGCCGCTCAGCTTGGCCTCGCGCCAGACAAGAAGGGAAAGGAGAAGGAAAAGGAGGACGAGGGCGGCGACGACGATGATCGATACCAAGACCCCGACAACGAGGTTGGACTGTTCGCCGGCGGCGTGTACGACAAAGATGACGAGGAGGCCGATCGGATATGGGAATGGGTAGACGAGAGGATGGACCGAAGAAAAAAGCAGCGAGAGGCGCGAGAGCAGGCGGAGAAGGACGAGTACGAACGCAACAACCCCAAGATTCAACAGCAGTTTTCCGACTTGAAACGCGCCCTAGCGAGCGTCACGGACGACGAGTGGGCGAACCTGCCCGAGGTTGGCGATCTGACTGGAAAGAACCGACGTAGCAAGCAGGCGCTGCGACAGAGATTCTATGCTGTGCCCGACAGCGTTCTTGCGGCGGCACGCGACTCGACCGAGATGGGCACAACTGTTATGGACGAGGGCACAGCATCTAGCTCTGGTGACGCTTCGGACGGGACCATGACAAACTTTGCTAAGATCGGAGCAGCTCGAGACAAGGTGCTCAAGTCTAGGCTAGAGCAGGCTGGCACAGACTCGGTTGCTGGAGGCACTTCGACGAGCATCGATCCTCAGGGCTACCTCACGAGCCTCAACAAGATGCAGATGAGTGAAGCGCAGGCCCAAGTTGGAGACATCAACCGTGTGCGCGAGCTGCTGCAGTCGGTTGTCAAGACGAACCCTACAAATGCGCTTGGCTGGATCGCTGCTGCACGACTGGAAGAGCTGGCAGGCAAGATTGTTACGGCACGAAAGACGATCGACAAGGGCTGCACGCAATGTCCCAAGAGTGAGGATGCATGGCTAGAGAACATTCGACTCAACAACGACTCCCCCAACGCAAAGATTATTGCTCGTAGAGCTATCGAGGCGAACAACACTTCAGTAAGGCTATGGGTGGAGGCTATGAGGTTGGAGACGCTCCCTGGCAACAAGAAGCGAGTTATTCGGCAAGCTCTGGACCACATCCCCGAGTCAGAGGCTTTGTGGAAGGAGGCTGTCAACTTGGAGGAGAACCCAGATGATGCCAAGTTGCTCCTTGCCAAGGCAACAGAGCTCATTCCTCTATCGGTTGACCTGTGGCTGGCTCTGGCCCGTCTGGAAACGCCCGAGAACGCCCAAAAGGTCCTGAACAGAGCTCGAAAAGCTTGCCCGACATCACACGAAATCTGGATTGCGGCCGCGCGACTGCAAGAGCAGCTCGGCCAAGGAAACAAGGTCAATGTTATCAAGCGTGCCGTCCAGGTCCTCGCAAAGGAGTCCGCCATGCCCAAGCGTGAAGAGTGGATCGCTGAGGCTGAGCGGTGCGAGGAGGAGGGTGCCATTATTACCTGTGAGAATATCGTTCGAGAGACCCTTGGTTGGAGTCTAGACGAAGACGATGATCGCAAGGATACGTGGATGGAGGACGCAAGGGCGAGCATCAACCGAGGCAAATATGAGACTGCTAGGGCAATCTATGCCTACGCCTTGCGAGTGTTTGTCAACAGCAAGACGATGTGGATGGCTGCAGCCGACCTGGAGAGGAATCATGGCTCTCGAGAGTCGCTCTGGCAGGTGCTGGAGAAGGCTGTCGAGGCATGCCCCAAGAGCGAGGACCTGTGGATGATGCTGGCCAAGGAGAAGTGGCAAGCGGGAGAGGTGGACAACGCTCGACTTGTGCTCAAGCGAGCCTTCAACCAGAACCCCAACAACGAGGATATCTGGCTGGCTGCCGTTAAGCTCGAGTCGGAGAATGGCAACGCGGAGCAGGCGCGGAAGCTGTTGGAAATTGCCCGTGAGCAGGCCCCGACAGATCGTGTATGGATGAAGAGCGTGGTGTTTGAACGGGTGTTGGGCAATGTCGAGGCAGCCCTTGACCTTGTTCTACAGGCTCTTCAGCTCTTCCCGGCGGCAGCCAAGCTATGGATGCTCAAGGGCCAGATCTACGGCGACCTAGGCAAGCTGGGCCAGGCGAGAGAAGCTTACGCGACCGGAGTCAAGGCGGTGCCCAAGTCTGTGCCTCTGTGGCTTCTATACGCTCGCCTCGAGGAGAATGCCGGTCTTACCGTCAAGGCTCGATCAGTGCTCGATCGTGCTCGACTGGCAGTACCAAAGAATGCGCAACTGTGGTGCGAGTCAGTACGACTGGAACGGCGAGCGGGCAACCTAGCCCAGGCCAAGTCAATGATGGCTAAGGCGCAACAAGAGGTGCCCAAGAGCGGACTGCTCTGGGAGGAGCAGATCTGGCACCTCGAGCCGCGGACACAGCGCAAACCTCGCAGTCTCGAAGCCATCAAGAAGGTGGACAGCGACCCGATACTGTTTGTGGCTGTGGCCCGCATCTTCTGGGGCGACCGCAAGCTGGACAAGGCGCAGAACTGGTTCGAAAAGGCCCTGGTGCTGGACAGCGATTGCGGCGACTCGTGGGCGTGGTACTACAGGTTCCTGTGCCAACACGGCACCGAAGAGAAGCGGGCGGATGTGGTGACCAAGTGCGTGCTCAATGAGCCACGGCACGGCGAGGCGTGGCAAGCTGTAGCCAAGAAGCCTGAGAACGCTAGGAAGAGCTGTGAGGAGATTCTCAAGATGGTTGCTGCGGAGCTGGAGTAGTGGTTTACACGAGACCGAGGGAGGTTAGCTTGCAGCATTTTTAGAACTTAAATATCAAAATAGCTTGAGGATTTTGGAGTTTGGGAACTGGGTTGCTTTATCAATACTAGGGAGGTTAGAGAGGTAGACATCATCCATGATGGACATGTTATGATGCAAGCACGGATAATATTCTTCCCTGCAGAGTGTACTGAACGAGAGGTTGATCTGATGTTTGATCATCATTCATTGTTTAACTGATTATTACAAAAGACACATGGTCAGTCTCTTGCCCTGGGTCAGACTATGCCATCCGCTCAACCCATGCCGTATTACGAGATCCGATGTTGATGAAAATAGTACACTTGCTTCCCGATGTTGGCAGGGCTCGTTTATTTGCTGCCGCCGCCGAACCAGCCCGAGATGCCGCTCTTGGCCTTGGAGGCTTCCTCCTCGACCTTGTTGTCGAACTTGTCGACGGCCTTGAGGGCCTCTGCCTTGGTGCCTTTGGCGTATGATTCAATGTTGCTCTTGGCTACTGATGCCTGGCGATCGGCCTCGGCGAGCTGAGCATTTATGGGTTAGTGTTGGGATCTTTCGTGAGTCGTGGGGAAGACGTACAGCCTTGTCAACTTGGGCGCCAGCTTGTTTGCCGTAGCCCTTGAGGTCGTTCTCAGCATCGACGGGAGAACGACCGGGGATGTGGCTCTTGACCTCGGCAGCGGCACGGTGGGCGTCGCCTGCAAATATTGTGTTAATATCACGGTCGCAATGCGTAATTGGGGCGAATTAGAGGATGCGCATACTCTTTGCCTCCTCCTTAGCAACCCTGGGGCTTCCGCCAGCGCTGTAGAGGTAGTAGCCGACACCTGCGGCGGCACCACCACCGAGAATGAGGGGAAGACGAGACTTGGACATGATGGTTGTTTGTGAGGTGTATAAAGTCGATGAGACAAGTGTTCTTTAGCAACAGCGTATGTATTTGTCGAGTTAATGTCGGAAAGTTGTGAGATGGCGAGAATGATACAGATCGTGAATGAATGACGGAAGGGGAGACGGGACGGTATTTATTAAGTTAGGTACGAAAGGTCCGAGAGTTTCCTCGTGTACCCTTACCTTAGTTACGGACTCTCTACCTGCCTTGGTTTCCTTGGGCCGAAATTCCCCCATGTACTCATGACGGTTGCAAATACATGACGTAGGTGCTGCGTTGACGGCGGGGTTGGAACCAATTCGATCTGGATCGCGATGGTGATGGCTTGATGGATAATCTAAAGGAATATTCGATTGAGCGGCTGTTTTTTTTTAATGGTTCGTAGGTTAAAGACGTTGATGGCAGTTATTGTTGAATTGAAAGCTGTATATGTATAAACGGCTTCGAATCATGGTAGATCTGCCACGTAGGTAGTTGTAGAGACGGGCTGTTGAACATCAATTGGCAGTTACACTACGTACGTTATGTCTTTAGTGCTTAACCAACACGTCTACCCCCTGCAGCAGTCGAGTTCCAGTAGGTTGGAATTGACTCAGTGTTGGCCTGTTTCACGACAATCTCAGAACCGTTTCCTCGTGGTGATTCTCAGCCGACTTGAACAGTTCAACTGCCGGATGCGATTAATCACTGTTCTCCAACAGGGTGTCCCTTTTGAGACATCCATGTCCATAGCAGCTGAATCAATAACGCCGAGCTCCCTCATTTGTCACATATTGTCGTTGAAATTATCATGGCTGAGTCCATCAAGACTTGACGTCGATCATCAGCTTGCCCCACTGTTCATCGCCCTCGATGGACCCGCCAACAGCGGCATTACATCATTGAACTGGTCTTTGCCCACATGAGCTTCCTACCCTATCGACGAGTCCTAGTGAAGATCACAAAGCGATACAACGCGGTTCTTTCAATTGGAGGAGCAATTGTGTATCTTGATTAAAGGCTTCATCCTTGGTTAAAGAAGCCTTCCGCCTTCTTCATTCCTCAATGCTAGAAAGTTACCGTAGTCCTAGCTTCAACGGAGGATGCCTCCTGGCGGTTCCCCTTCCATCTTAGCTGGGCGCCCCGCCGCAAGATCGTCCTGCTAAAATCAGGTTGGACCGCCCTAGTAGCGCCTCCCCCAAGCTCACAACGACATCTTTTCTCCTTACCTTGGTTTTTACTTTTTTTACTTCTGTTTCAACTTCGACATCCTTCTGAAGCGATCTTTTTTTTTTGTGCCAACTGTCTTGATATTTTCATCACGCTCTTGCTTGCGAAATTTAGGTTGTAGGGCTTCCGATTCGCCCTCCACTCGCCCAGAGCTGCTTCCGTCACCTTGACGCCTTGCGCCTCCTGACGATGCCCCCTGCGACGAACCCCGATCGAACAATCTCTTGCTTGTGAACGGGCGTATCGCCCGCGGCCATCCAAGGCCCAGGTGCTACACGGCACATCTGCCATGCTGAGGGTCAAAAGCTCTCGTCGTCCCCAGGGACTGAAACCTGGTGACTATGATCACGAAATCGATCTCGTCGACCACGATGCCGTTCGGACACCCGCCGAGTCCATCACCCCCGAGCCCGCTAGCATGGTGAGGTGCTCGACAACCTCGCGCCTGCTGGCCCTAGATGACGACGAGGAAGCAGAACATCGACAGAATGGAGAAAATGGGCACCAGCAGAACGGACAAAATGGACAAAACAAGAAGGACGATGGTGAACAGCACAGGCAAGACGACTCACAGACTGAATATGGCAATGGTCCTGAATCATCTTCTTCTCGAGTTCCCAACAGAGAAGACCTGCCGCACCCCATGATGAGGCCATCGATTGAGGTCCAAGGTCAGTGCCCTTTGTGATACCAGGCGTCGCAGTTCCCCTAACACGCCAATAGAGCCCACACCCCAAGCCTTCCATGGAGATCATTCTCAAGTCATGACCAAGAAACCGCACGTCGAGCGCGAGACTGCGATAGACATCTTGTACGAGAATGAGAGAGGAGGTTTCCTCTGTGGCATCGCCCTCTTCTCCGGACAGGCCCTTGGTGGCCTCGATCCGCCTGCCTGGAGTAAGCTCACACAACATCCCCGCAATATGGCAACAAGAAATGCTGACCAGCTTCCTATTAAGCCAATGCCTACCACAAGGCATCGCCGACCAACATTCATACTGCTCAAGTTCCAGACCCTACCTGGGAATGGGCATGGCCTGAGTGGCGCGTCAACCGCCAGGAGGGCGTCGACGAAGAAGGCTGGGAATACTCGTTCCATTTTTCCAAAAAGTTCTCGTGGCACCGCGGCAAATGGTGGAACTCGTTCGTCCGACGGCGTGCCTGGACACGCAAGCGGGTGAGAAAGAGGCCCGAGGATGTCTCGACGGATCCACACATGCTCAGTGCCGACTACTTTGAGATACGCCCTGCTTCACACAAATCTCACCAGTCGCGGGGGAGCGTGGCTAGCAGCCGTCTTAGTCGCTCGAGCATGAGCCAGATTTCGGCAGCGGACGAGAAACCACCCGATATCGAGCACATCGAGGACCTTATGGAAACCCTTCGGCTGGCCAGGATAGACAGGGAGAAGCTCGACGCCGTTGACAGTTACCTGGAGCATGGGACAGACCTCGCCAAATTGCAGGACGAAATGCACGAGATCATGTCATTGTTTGTTTTCCAGGCATCACGGCGCATTCTGCTCAGCCGCCTAATGCAGGTTCACGACGAAACGACAGCACAGGTCAAGAAGACAAACACGACAGAGCTGCGGGAGCGAAACCAGGCGCTCAAGGATGCTGTGCACCACGCGGACGAAGAGGTGCGAAAGCTGGCTTATTGGAGCGACGTCAAGCAAATGGCCGAAAGCGGCGAGGCCAAGGATGCCGTAAAAGGCGACAAGGGATGGGATGAGAGCTGGGAGGGTGTGGACCAGAGCGGAGCATCCCATCCGGTACCAGACAATGCCAAACCCAATGGGAAATGAGCGGACCTGGAGCTGTACCGCAAAGGCGTTTTCTTTATTGCTTATAGCCATGTCGATCCATGAGGGTATTTCATCATGGGAAGGGGTAGGAATGGATGGATGCTTGGGAGATAGTTCCGGATGTCATTTTGGGCGGGAACCGGATTGGGGGCGTTTTGATATGGGTTTTGACTTGACGTTTTATCGTCAGTTGCCATGACGGGGTAATTCTGAACTCCCTGTCAGAATTTTCTTGGTTGTAAGAGAATATATATCAAGTCATCCATGTTTATGAACGAATTCAGTATCTGACAGGTTCTGGTTGCCGCGTATGGTGTGTAGTTGAGGGCCCACGTGACCCTCCGGGCGACATCGCGGCTACCGTTATCGATAGCCTACCCGCCCGTCTTTTTTTCCGCTCTCCATTGAGAATCCATGCCTAGGCCCTCACAGCCAGTTCAGCATTGACGACGATCGGCGGGCCATACCATATTCAACGACTACGACGATGCGCGACACATGACCAATGTCCCTGGGGATCAAGTCAATATGGAGGGCGCGGCCGCGATGTTCTGCCATCGCAGGACCTTTCCTGATTTCCAGGGCCCAATTGCCCTCCAGGGTCCTAAACCCCCACCAAGCCCTCCTCCGACTCGAGTCGACGACGACACAGCCAGGGTCGAAAGGCCAGGATGCCTCTTCGGAGACGGCTCTTGCGACATTGCGCGACAATCCAAATGCGAGCCTTGAAGCGACCGAACTTCACGACGAAGCGACACCGGAGTATATGGCTGCAAGTCTGGTGATGGACGACTCTCCAGAGTCTCGGAACAAACTCTTCAAGGATGCTTTCAGGATCGATGCAGTTCGGGCGGCTGAGGACAAGGAAGCATTAAAAGCTCACAAACCCGTCATCGGAAAACCGCTCCAGTACCCCAATTCGGCGGCGACAAAGGCGAGCATCGAGGAGCACATGCGAGATGCGCGACGGCAGCTCGGACTTGGGGTCGTCTGGGATCACTTCAACAAGAAGGTACCGGAATGGACCGAGTGCTTCAGATTGATGAAGCGCATGACGCCGCAGTGGAGCGAGAGAGCCAACATGTCGGCCGTGAGGATCGTCCTGCCCAAGTCGTGGGATATCGAAGTCAACAACCAGAATCTCGAGTACGTCGACTCTGCGACGGGTGTGCTTCAGAAGTTGCGAGCTGCGGTGGACAAGAACCCGTCGGCCATCGTGCTGCGTGGACAGAGCAAGATCCTGGTCAAGGTGGCTGATGAGATCGTGCGGTACTGCAAGGAGGCCGAGATTTATGAACTGGGAGAAGTGGCAACCTCTGACTACAGGACGAGACAACTATGGCCGACTATTGAGAACGCACCTAACGGCGGTGCTTCGTTACCGGATGATCACCACGACAACATCTGGGTGCACAAGGAATACCAGCCGCATCTGATAACGGTACCTTATGAGAAGATCCCGCGACCCGAGGTGTGGACGAGGGACAACTTTGAGCATTACGTTGCGAGTCTGGTCTACGGCAGGTTACCCTCGCACCTGGCGATTCCTTTCTACGGCCAGCGCCGCATCAACGGGAGAAACATTGACACGGACGGTATCCGCATTAAGCTGATCGTCGACGCTTTTGAAGACCCTGCAGCCCGGCCGTTTATCACAGTTCCAGTCCTCAGGATGACCGTCTCTATGATGACTTTCAGGGGTGGACATCGCGCCTCGGCAAACCGTCTAGTGCAACTAGCGGAAGAATGGGGTATTCCTATGGATACTGACATCTACAACATCATGCTCGAGGGATACGCTCACAAGCGTGACATTGGCTTCTTCTATGGGTTCCTCCGCAAGATGCAGGCCCGATACTTCCACCCCAACATCCGCACTTGGCTCCTCTTCCTTCAGCTCATCAGGGGAGAGGATGAGAGGAGGCAGGTGATTGTGGCCATGTATGAACTGGGCATGTTTAACCACGCTGCCACGCGGCGAGGCATTGCTGATGTCATGGCGTCTCTCGACTCATACGCCGCCTTCAAAGCTGGCAGGACTCTCAAGGGCTTCCTTTCCGACCAGAAGGAGCGGTATGGTGCAGACTGGCTGGCCACAGACGGCCTCAACGGCATCATCACGGAGCTTCTTCGCTTCCACCGAACAGAGGACCCTCGAGTAGGAGACTGCAAGAAGCTTGTCAAGATTCACACAGATGCAGGCCGCCGCATCGACCTCAAGACCATCAATATCTTCCTCAGGCACTCGGCGCTCACCCGGGACTGGGATACGGCACTCTGGGCCATGTCGCTTTTCAAGGAAGCCGGCTGCGAGCCAGATCAAGAGACATACACGGCGCTCATGTCTCTCTCTGTGCGAACACGCTCGCCGCATGCCCTAGGCACCGTATACTTCTATGGCGTGCTACACCGCAAGCTCAAGAAGCAATCGCGCCAGATGCTTAGCAAGGTGCTTCTCGGTACGCACCACGACACTTTCTGGAGGACCTGGGAGCATCAACCGGGCATCTTTCCCAAGGATGCCATCCCAGACCTTGAGCTCAACAAGATCCCCCGCTTCTTCGCCGTAATGTCGCGTGTAGAGCGTACCATCCTTGATCGCTGGGCAGGTTACGTCCCTATCAAACCCCTAGAGCGTTCGCTCGAGCTCGCCTACCGTTCAAACGACCAGCCCATGCACCATCAGATACGTGCCGGCAAGCGTATCAAGGTGCAAGACCTCGTCGTCAAGCTTCGACGGGTCGACGGCCAGGAGGGTAACATCAACGTGAGGCTTTTGGGCCGCTTCGATCCCTTCCGCATGATCGAGAACTGGGCCGAACCAGAACCCCGGCAGGATCAGGAGTCTAGCTGGGTTGATCCAGATGGATCAGAGATGGAGCAAAAGCCCAAGAAGGAGTCTGAGTCAACGAGTCATGAGGCTCAGAGTTTACCACCACCCGAGAGCCAGGCTGATGAGCCGTCTTCTGATACACCTCCATCTGCTGGTACACCCGCCAGCTAAAGACTATCCCCTATACCGCCTGAACCGTCATGTATCACCATATACCATCATCTTGTACATCACATAATTTAGGATACCTCCTCATCCTGGAACAAGCATATCACCACGACACATAAATGCCATGTATAACTAGTAAAATAAGCATACTCGGGGAAAATAAAGATGTCATGAACCATGAGAAGCAATAAATACCACACTGAGCAACCTAGAAATGTATACTTGAGTCAAAATATAGTGCACGTGTAAATGTCCATCACCTTGTTAAATCTCTCACGAGTCAGGTCATACGTAGTCACGCATGTGCACTGAGGTAAGCAGTAAAATGTCAGCTTCTTGACTCACAGCCGTAACTTGACCCAATAGGATCTTGTAAACCTTGCCCTGTATATGCTATGCCTCCTTACTACCTCCCTCCATGCTGTTTCTAAACTGACCCAGCTATACTCGGAACGTGTGCGTGTGTTTATCCCGGCTGTAAATGATTTTGGGACAAGGTTAAAACCCCTTAAAGAGGAAGAAGGGGTTTCAACCAAAGGAAAAACGTTGGTCTCGAGAAACGTGAAGATGGTGATGATGATGATGATGATGGGCGGTGACCAAGAATATATGTGGAATCCCAATGCGTAAAACGTCAAGAAAAGATGTTGTCTCGCTCTTCTTTCTTCTCTCTTGTATTTCCTCCCCTCGTGCACTCCAAAACGGCAATCCTCTCCTTGTCGCTCTTCCCGCGACGCGCCTGGGCGAGCAGCCGACGAGGGCTCACGCAACGATCCAGATTCGACGCCAGTACACCGACAAAGTTGGGATGCAAGACCTAACATGAGAATATCTGACATCCAGCCTCCCCAATCGTCCTCGTCCTCGTCCTCGTCCTCGTCTTCGTCCTCATCATCGCCCTCGCACTCTCCATCTTCCTTCGACCTTTAGAACCTCCCGTTACCCCGGGATCCGAGAAACATGGCCAGCAACGCAAGTACTAGAGGGACGCTTTAATTCAGAACCGGATACCCGTTCAATAAAGGAGCCACCTATTCCTTCTTGATCTCCTGGGGAGCCTCCTCCTTCTTCACCTCCACATCGGCGGACTTCTCCGTGGGCTTCGACTGGGCCGCAGGGGCGGGTTTCGACTCGGCGGTGCTGCTGGAGGCGGGTGCGCTCGTGGTCGCGGCGGCCGGGGCGCCGGGGGCGGCTACAGGAACGGTTTCCTTGCTGTCGGCGGACGTCGTGTTCTTGGCGACCTGGCTCTCGAGGTCCTTGTCTTCGTCGGCGTTGTCGAACATCTCGGTGTCATCTGAATCCGTAAGAACCTCAGTGCCATCGCCGAGGAAAATGATCCGGCCTCGGTACCCACCAACGCCGAAGCTTCGTCCTCCCTTGTTCTCAGGATCAAGCTCATAGCCGCTATCGCTATCTTCAAAGTTGTGGTGGACTCCAGGCCCTCGGAATTCGGCTGAAGAGAGATATGTCAGCCTGTGCTTCTCGGCCCGGAGCTTGACGCCAGCGGCATGGCGGACGTGTCCTGCTGCTCGTGGACTGTAGGAGGACTATTCGTACCGTACTCGGGGGGAGCGCAAGGGCCGTCACCGTTGGCGACTCGGCGAGCAATCTCTTCGTACCACTCTTCCTTGGTCTTTCCGTTGAGGAAACCAATGATGGACATGGTCATGTTGTCACAGCCGACGCCGCCCGTCTCGGAGTTGGAGGCTAGACAGTTGTCCATCATGTTCTCGCAGATCTTGTCGAGATCCTGCTTGGCGGCGATGCCTCGGCGGACAAACTCGACCACGGCCTGGGAGGATTGGCAGTCCCAGATACCTAAGCTAGTGAGTATTGTCATTACCAAAGGGCCCAGCCTGATTCTACTCACCGTCGCAGGCGATGACCAGGAACTCATCCTCGTCGGTGAGGTCGTGTTGCTCGACATCGGGGTAAGCGGTAACAATCTGGTTCTCGGGAGACAGCTCGGCACTCTTCTTGAACTCAAAGTCACCAATGGCACGAGAGAGGGCGAGGTTTCCATTCACTCGGCCAAAATCGACAAAGCCACCGGCAGCTGTGATTCGGTTCTTCTCGTCTAGTGGGGGTGTCAGCACGGGGGCTGTCGCAATAGAGGTGCCCCAGCGTGAATGGGAGCGGGCAGATGCGACTGACTCTCGAGTTGGGGCTTGTGGTCCTGAGACAAAGGCTTGGCACGTCCCTTGATGCCAAGAACTCCTCTTGAATCACCAGCGTTGGCCTGTGAGTTTATCTGTTAGCCTTGCGTTGAGTGAAGGGATACCCCTCGGCCAGGCCAGGTTGGTTGGTGGGGCGGGGCCAACGTGGGGAAGCGAGGCAGCAGGCGGACTGGACTGGACTGGGCTGTACTGACGAGATAGAGCTTGTTTCCGGCGATCAGGCTGACACAGGCTGTGCAACCCGAGACTTCTTCTTCGTACTTGGGGTCTGACGTAAAGGAAGCATATAATGTTAGCGGGCTTCGAGTGTCGTGAGCGAGAAAAGGCGCAAAAGGGAGAGGCGATGATCATGTGGGGAACTAGCTGGCGCATAGTATAGCATACCGTTGAGAATGGCGCGGTCGGTCGCGAGGAAGCCGTCCTTCAAACCCTGAGCGTAGTCACCCGACTTGAATTTATCCTGCTTAAAGATGATGTTGTGGATGTTTGCGCCGGCGAACAATGCCACCTTGTCACCGCCGTGGCCGTCGAAGACACCGAAGAAGGACAGCTTGCTGGGGTGAGTCTTGTTCGGGTCCAGGTCGAGGACTGCCGTGTGGGCGTCCTCCATGCTGATGCGCCATCCCTGCATGGCAGAGACGCCGTAGATGAGGCGCTCATCTTCACCTTTCTCCGAAGTCTGTGAGGGTTTGGGTCAAGAGTCAGCGGGACGAGGTCTGACGACATGGTATGGCATAGCAAGCAAGCAAGGCGGAAGCATCGGAGAGGCGGGAAAGCAGACAGCACAAGATGGACGTCGAGGGCAGCAGCGGTCGAGGCAAAAATGGCCCATGACGCATGTCTTGTCTGTTATACTTGAAAAAGGCTGGCGATTCATGCGCGGCTGGAGGTTTTGGTGGTGACCCGGCGTGGAGAGAGGGGCTCATGACCGGGCAATGCCCCTCTCGCGCGAGTCCGCGGTGCCAATCCCAATGCTCCAAACCAAGACCAGATGCAGGATGGACGGAGACGCGGAGATTGATGGACCAAGAGCACACAATTTGGCGACGACAAGGCAAAAGGTAAGGTAGCAAAAAAGGCACAGCAACGTACCTTTTCGACAACGGGCTCCGAGAGTGTTTGGCCCATGACTGGAGGATTTCGGTTCGGTTCGATCGGTCGAGAGCTCAAGATCCCACGACGAAGGAGAGAGGGAGGGAGAGTAGGATGGAAGTGAGTGAGCGAGCGAGCGAGCGGAAGCGGGAAATGCGAGAGGAGGAGATCGGCCGACGGAGGGGTTGGCGGGGAGGGGCTTCGATAGAGGGGAACCTGAGCGTTCGACCTAGGCGCGCGGTGGGGAGGGGGGAGGGGGATTTGTTTGGATGAGGTATTCAAGGGGGAAACAAGATATCAAAGTGTGATACTGGGGGGGAGGAAGGAGAAGGAGTTGAAGGGGTTAGGGGGAAAAAAACTAACACAACGCACACGATGCCGGCGCCGGAAGCGTGGTGGAGGTGGATTCACGGTCTTCTGCGGAAGCGGGAGATGTGCGAGGTGCGAATGATGGGAGGGATGTGCGTGTGGTGGATGAGGTGCGGACTTGATGGTTGAGTTGAGCTTGGAGCCCACCTAGGCAACCCAGAGGGAGGCGTAGCGGATATTATGGTGCTGGTCGCTAGCTTCTCAGTGGGTGTTTATCGGTGGCTTAGTGAGGGAGGCACCTGCAAGGCAGATGAGCAGGGCATCAGCTAGCGGGTGAGAAAAATTGCTTAGGTGCTTTTAGGTGGGAGGAAGCGGGGTAGTATCGCCTTCCAGGTTGGCTATTGTGGCTGGTGATGATGTTGCTTCCAAGTTTCCATGTGCCAACGACTCGCGTCTCTTTACGACGTCAGTCACTTCCCTCCCTTTACCAGAACATCTGCCACGGTCTAGAATCAAGTGCTAATCAAGGTTCCTGGTGAAGCATCGTCAGGTCCCCTTACCAAGCGCCGATCCGACGACCCCATGAAATGGGATGGGATGGGATGTCCGTCAAGGCCCCGGTGCATTCCCCTGTCGCCTGGGAAATGGAACCGCCACCGAGACATGGACTCTGACACCATGACGGGCTCCAAACCAAACCAGAGAACCACCTTGGGTGGTGGCAGGTGCCTTGACTCTCCGCCGATATAATCAAACCCATACCTGCACACACACGCACCGTCAAAGAAAGCTGTACGATGCGCCCGAATCACCTTGGCGACCCGTGACAATGCGAACCACCTGTCAAGGCTAAAAAAGAACAGGCGTTCCAGACCTTTTCTCCAGCCGCAGAAGCAAGAAGAAGGAGAAAAAAAAAAAAAAATCCTGCACCGTCAGCTGCTGGCGCCTAAATACCTGCCTACCTAGACCCGAGATAGTTCCCCCATCGTTGGCCGTTCGCGCGCATATCCTCGCTGCATTGGGACACACTGGGGAGGGGAACCTGAAAATTTCCATCCCCAATCCGCCCTTCTGCTCTCGCCACCTCCCAGCGCGCGTGCGCGTGTGCGTCGGCCAATGCTGCCTCTTTCTCTGCTTGGCTCGGTTGTGCCTCGTGAGCCCGGTTTGTGTGACTGCATTCTCTGAGCAAATTGATTTGCCCGACTTCATCCAGACAGATTCTAGACTGTACTGTCCATACATGTACCGGCAGACGTAAAGGCTCTCTGGTCGCGTGCCTGCTGACGGACCGGTCCGGCTAGAGCATGAACTGCCTGTCACATCACCAGCCAGATCCCATCAACGTGCTCGGGTGTGGCTGCGTCATCCGCTGTGCAGTAACGCAGTTATGTACCAAATATATGCCGGCCTACCTATTCAGGAATCTATTGCATCCATCGTGGATCTTGGACGCTGTGTCATTCACGACTGCATGCATCCTTGTATACATCTTGCTTAGAGAAGATAGCATTATATAAACTCATTAGGACTCCCCCCATCTAATAACTCCTCCCAGTTGCAATAGACATCGCCAACCAAATGGTATCGTTTCGAAGTACTCAAGTATATCCAGAAATCTAGTACCCATCATCATCATATCAGTAAAACTGGCAGAAACACAGCGCTCGGGTATATATCATCTAATCCTTCAACTCCCCCATGCATTAAAGAAACGCGTAGCTGCCCCCCTTTGACTTTGCCGAGTCTTCTCGTCTCCAGTTCGTAGCTTGATCCTCCTCGGTTCTCAAATCCCTACTGTTCGCCAAGTTGTGCCTGTGACTGTGACTCCCCTGCAACGATGGCAGTGAACCTCGAATGCTTGTTTGTGCATCTCCCCACTGACTAGGCGATATCAGATCCGAACCGGCTCGCTCTCCTGGTTGCAGCCAATCCTGGCTGGGACTCATCGGTGTGCTCGATCGTGCTGGGTGAAAGGGCGCCTCGTCAACGAGCTGCCGGTAAGACAAGCTCGTCGCGTCTCGTCGTGCCCCGAGCACCCGCCAATTCTCCGTCGATCCAAACGACGGGTCCATGAAGAAACCCCTCGAAACATCCCTATCGTACCAAGCCCGGCTGCTAGGGCGGCTGCCTTCGCCGAGAAGTTCATGGCTGGATAAGCGCACTGGTTCAGGTCGCCTAATCTCTCGTATACTTTGGCCAGCTTCCCCTGGAGATGCCTGATCTTGTCCTGCGTGGTGTTGATCGTGCGTACCTGCTGCACTGATAGGAAACCCTCCCGTCAGGAGCCTGGGGCTGGATTGATGAGAAGACGCAAATGCCAGCGAGCTTTCGTTGCCGCTTGAGAACGTGCCAGACTGTCCAAGCTCATGCCCATGCCCAAATGTTCGCGGGCCCCCGATGTTTGGAAGGTCATCAATAGATGGGATTGTTAGGTCGAGTCCACTCCTGAAGGAGCTGCCCCCGGATTCTGAGAGGAATGCAGGTGGTGGTATCAGTTGATGTGTAGACTCAGGGAATGTCGTATCTGAGTGCTGACTCCTTAACGACGCCTGGCTCTGTCGTGCTGTCGCTGTCGCTGTTCCTTCTACTGTTACCCACGATCGCCTCCTGTCATCGCCACTCGTTATGCTGGTGGACCGTGACATCATAAAACTCGAGCCCTCAGCTACAAACCGCGATGGAACTTCGGGAGTTGTCATGGTCCCCATGGTCTCCAATGTAGGGGATGATAATGACAACGTCTCCGACTCAATTTCCGAATATCGTTGCCTGGTTGGACGGTACAGTCGTTGTTCCATGGGAGCAATGTTCGTGGCTTTCCCGGGTTCTTGCATTGTAGATGTGGCCCCGTTAACACGCAAGCTTTCCAGCACTGGGCCGGAGATTTTATTGCGAAACTTGGCGGATAAGTATGTCTGTCGAGACCGACGCCGTCGAATGAGGCAAAAAATAAGCAGCATCAGGAGCAATATGAAGGCAAGAAGGGGCAAGAGGATCGCGAGGAGGAGGCTGCTGGTCGACAAGCCTTTACTGGAACCGCCAGTGGGGGGCTCAGGCTCCGAAGTAGTCTCGGTAGGCGCACTTGATGCAGTAGATGAGGATGTTTTGGTAGATGTGGAGGAAGTAGAGGTCCGGCGTGTGGACGAAGGTGTAGGTGTAAATGCTAGGAGGCTCACGTTGAGACTCTCAGTCTCTGTGGCATCTGAGCTTTTAGATGAAGCCGTAACCGAGATCTTCAAGTCCCCTGATGCGGACCTTGGCACCTTTCCGGTGATGTTGAAACCTTCGAGTTTTAACCAATCTCTGTCCGGCTTGACTGATATCTCAACGGCAACGTCATCTGGGTCCCAAAAGTACGGCTCCAAGTCGATATTGGCTTCTTTCCCCGCCCTTATCTCGATGTCATCAAAGGTTGATCGAAAGAGTGCTGTTGCTACATTGACGACGGCGTCAATGGCCAATGTGTCTTGATGCGAATCGCGAAGGTTAATGGTGAAGTTGGTTGAATGATCGCCTTTCTTGGGTGTACCCTCGATCCTCCAGGTTTCCTCATCGAGAGATAACCACTCGGGCATGTTATCCACAGAGACCTCGACGTCGCTTTTATCAATCGGCTTGTTGTCGAGTTTGACACTATCCTCCAGACCGTCATACTGGAGCTTCTTTCCACGTGTGGCATTCAGCGTGATGGTTGGGCTGTCTGTGCTGAGTTTATGACTCCCCACGATGATGGAGAACGACATGGACACAGCTGAGAAGCCGACTATGTCGGAGGCGACGAGATCAAAGTCAAATGTTTGTGGTGGCTGTATAAGTGACTCGAAAGGAGGCGTCTCCCCGCTAAATGTTAGGGAGCCGGCATCGAACCTCATCCACGCAGGCAAGGGGCTGCTGTCGCCGGAGGTAGCGTAGTAATTGATCATGTCGGGTTGGTGATCAAAGGTGTCGGGATCGAAACTGAAGCTGAACTCGGTTGATGGATATGATATCAACGACGAAGGAGCAGAATAGTCGCCAAAGTCCCCGATCTGGTCCGAGAGAGGGATCTTGATAGAGGGACCATTGTTTCTCGACACAACAAGAGTTGCATTGAGAGATGCTGAGCCGGCCCCATCATTAGCAATGACTTCAACTTGCTGTCCCACCACGTCTCCTTTTGGAACGGTATCGTCGGTTGGTGTCCCGTAAAGCTGGCCTTCGTCATCGATGGAGAGCCATTCGGGTGCATCCCCGAGCGAGTATAAGAGGTTGAAGTCTGACCGAAATGTGTATCGAGAAAAAGAGTACGAGAAGGGCTCGTCTACTCGAGCCACTGGTGGCAGTTGAGAGTTGATTGGAAAGTTCACAGTGGGTTGACCACTGGTAAACTGGGCAGCGAGTAGGAGAGGGGCTAGTATCACGAAAGAGAGCATCATGGCATGGTATTGTGTTGTTCGGTACCAGATCGTGAAGCTGATGGAACACAACACGCCATTCAAAAGTGAGTAAGGCTGCGGTGGAGGAGGTCAAGGCCAAAGAAGAAAGAAGCCAGAAGAGGATCAGAAAGGCAGGAGGATGGGCGAGAACGCCCAAGGGCATATCGTCACTGACATCTTGATGGCTGGTGAGATGAGGGCTTCCCGAGTAATACTACACCCTTCATTCCTGTATAACTGCTCCACTGGGCCAGTGCGGGAGACGGGAGAAGGTCAACTGAGGGCAGTTGAGCCAAGGGACCAGTAGCCGGTCTGGCCGTTCATTGCGGGAGGAGGCAATCTGTCTCATCTTGAGGCACTCTATGAAGGAAAATGGCGTAGAATTGTGGCGGGGGAGAGTAAAGTGGTAGTTTCCAAGGCTGGTATTGCTGTGCAAACATTCCTGAGCGAGGTTCATCGGCCAAAGAGGCGAGTGAGACATTCAGAGGCCACCTGGGATGAGTCGACTCGCCCAATCAGGTAATTATCATGTCGCGAGGGTGAAGGCGAAGACCCAATTTAGATGGGAGAGGGAGGGCAACTATTAGCAATAACGGCGTCATTGGAAGCGATTGCATTGCTAAAGAGGCCAAGGGCCACTTTTTGCTTGATTGACCGAGAAGGGCACAATATCGATAAATTGATCATGGTCTTCTTGAAGGAGTCTGGTTTCTGATTCACGAACCACAGGCAACTGGCTCGTGCCAGCCTTCCATATGGATAGGTAAGTCACTATGCTCACTGGAGCTAAAGGCTGCTGCGAGAAAGACGTTGGCTCTGATCGGCGGGGGCCAACAGCAGGCAGGCCGGTAGTTCAACGGGCCGAGAGCGGGAGGAGCCCTTATCTCGATTAGTCGTTATCGTTTGTCGCGAGTCCCATGAAGCTTAACGAGCCAATCGATCCAAGTTCTTAACAAGTCCCGGGCGAGTAGGATGAGGCGGAAGATGCGATGGAGAGGCTGAGGGCGGGTAAAAAGACAGGCAGGGCCCATTTGAGTCTGGATCGCATCAGCATTGGATCCAATGCAACGCAGGGAGAAAAGGGCCCAACAAAGTTGAGGAGAAGATGCGAAGAGGAGAAGCGACGGCGGCCAGTGGCAGACAGGTGACACTTGAAGCTAGTCGTGCCTTCCATACAGCAACAAGCTCCTTATCTCTTTCTGGGTTAGCCACAGTCGACGATGGCAAGAGCGAAGCCATAGATAGTGCCCTCACCTCACATCCTTTGACTTGTTGAACTCCCATTCTCATTATTCAACCCTTCGATCATCTTCGCCTTCATATTCTCAAACTCCTCGACCGCTCCCATCGATCAACATCCCTTGGCCTCTCCCTCGTCATCCTCACACTCGGCCCTTACCGACGACAAGGTTTTTGTCTCTTCTAGCATCGACACTGGTGACGCTACCACCTAAGCGAGGCCCCAAAGACCTCACCACTTTCGCAATGAGCAGTCCACCGTCTTCTCCCTTGATGGATCCCGTCGCCATCAGTGAGGATCTCACACCGCTGCCGACCCTCAAGGAGATCGGCGTCGCACAGGTTGACTTCGATGGCGTCCTTTCTCAATCGCTCAAGCTGCGTGAAGATGTTCGGTCAGGGTGCGGTGGGCAAACGTGGCCTGCGGGTATGCTTCTAGGCAAGCACATGTTGCGGTATCATAGAGACCGTCTCAACAACGCGCGGATGTTAGTATCTCCTCAGCCTCTGAGCATGTGACCTGGCACAGTGCTTCCTTGTGCGGACAGTGTGAGAAGGGAACAGCAACGGACTAGACTTGCTAACTTCGTGGGTCGCATTAGATTGGAACTCGGAGCCGGAGGTGGCCTCGTCGGCCTCGCCGTCGCCCTCGAGTGCGATCTTCAAAATCCTTTGCTATTAACGGATCAAACCGAGATGTTTGAGCTTATGCAACACAACATCAAGCTTAATGGTCTGCAAAGCAAGGCGAAAGCCATGGTGCTCAACTGGTGCGTGTTTCTAATATCCCATCCTGCACAAACACCGTTGGATGCCACCATGCTGGATGTCCATAAGGGTCACATACTGCATCGCCGAGAGCCAGTTGGCTAACAGTGGCATGTCCATGTAGGGGCGAGCCTTTACCCGCAACTGTGCTGGAGCAAAAACCAGACGTGATCTTGGCAGGTGAATGTGTTTATTTTGAGCCAGCATTCCCTCTTCTGATGTCAACACTCAAGACGCTCTTGGAGTTGAACCCATCAGCTGTTGTGTACTTTTGCTTCAAGAAGCGGAGAAGGGCTGACATGAACTTTGTCAAGATGGCTAAGAAGGCTTTCAAAGTTGAGGAGATATTTGACGAGGAGCGGCCGGTATTCCAGCGCCAGGGCCTGTTCCTCTTCTCGTTTACTCGCCGCACAGGTCAGCAGCAAGGTCAGCAAAAGGCAGCCAGCAAGAGCCAGGGCGAAACCCGATTGGCGATGAATGGCGACAGTCAAGCCAAGGACGTTTCGTCTTAACACCATGATCTGTTGCCGGCATGCATATTGAACTCTGGACTTGCACATTTCGCTCAGCACAAAAGCAACAGCAACAGCAACACATCCTCGACTGTACACCGACGAAGAGAGCTCTGACCAACGAGAGCATGCAACGTCGTCCAGTCCCCCTCCATACACTTGCAATAGATCCATTCTGGCGCACGTGCTAGCCTCTGTATCGGGTCATCCGAGAGGGCCGAGAAGTTGGCATGCAGGAATTGCTTCCTTCAGTCAGACTGTATTGCACATTGGTGGTGGCGGGCGAGGTGTGGGTGACCTACACCGGCTCCCCACAGGTTGCGGTTTTCTACTGGATTGAAGGGGGCTGGGCTGCCAAAGAAGAGAGAGCCGCGTGTCCACCGCTGCAAGTTTTGCTTGTTCTCTGCGGGCTTTATTCATGCCTCTCTTGGCTCGCGTTGGCTTTGTCAGACGGAGGGAGTTGTCGGCAACTTGCGCAAGGGCTGGTTCACGGCACATCCAGCGCTTGCGTAGGTACTTGGAAAGGAGGAGGGCTGGAGAGTTTGAAAGTATTAAAAAAGTCAATCACACCGCATCGTTTTGAATCACATGGAACGGAACATGACAGAAAGACAGATGGCATATGGAAGGCGAGCAACAGACGCCCGAGTCACGAAGTTTCAACGTCACACATGTATTCGCGCCAGACACGAACCGAACGACCCAACGAGAGAACAAGACGAGAAAGACTTTTTTTTCTCTCACACCATGGTTCTTTGAGTTTTGTTCAGGCCAGTGCAAGCCATGAGCCGCTAGCGCACCTGGCTGTGAGGTGGCACCCCAGTGACGGTTGTTCACTGGACTGGGCCGTGTTTCAACTCCTGCTGGGCTCCCTCCACACCTCCAGGATGCAAGTTTACTCGTCGGCTCGGCGGCCAGTGCTCCATCCGCCAGGTAAGCCTCTCAGTTTCGGGCCAGGCACAGGGCGCCAGCGGAGGGAGGGGAGGGAGATCGATGCAGGCCTCCCTCCCACCATCTTTGACCCTCCAACTTGTTCTCGTCGATTCTGGCTGCAATAATCCCGCCGTGGCCAGGCACCCGGAGACTGCCATTGGCCCTCCCCCGACAATGAGGGCGCCCCTGGTACCTGACAAGAGGCCCAAAGCCGGAAGCTGGCGACAGGGCGGCCCCTTGCAGCATGGCCAATCATGGTAGGGCTAGCTGAGGAAACTTGGTTTGCGTCGGACCACGGTGCAGTCCAGTCCTTTCCAAGAGACTCGTGCAGGCCTCCGTGCCGTTTGTCGACGACTGATTCGAACAGTCCACTCAAGGTGTGTTGGACGACATGACTCTAGTGAGAATGTTGACGTCCATACCTGTGCGGCTACGCGTCACTTGATCCGGGCACCGGATGAGGAGATTCTGAGTCGCTGCTCCCAGCCTGCAGCATTCAAACTTCGTTCTGATCGCAGCGGCCGACATGACCGTCAGCGGGCTCTGACAGAACAGTCAGAGAAGAAGGGCTTCCAGCACTGAACAATGCCCCTGGATGGTGCCACGCCCCCCTGGTTTTCCAGCATGGTTCGGTCTCTTGTGGTCCCGGGCCACTTCCCCTCTGTTGGGCTGTTCCGCTTGCATGGTCAAAGACGTTGACCTCTGGCTGGCCCCGGCAGATGGCAGTGACCCATGGAACCCATGGAGGGGAGTGGACCAGTGAGGATCTCGAGTGCAGAGATGGCAGCTTTGCCACGCCCGTGCCATACCATACCATGCCGTCCGTTCTGCTCCCCACCCACCTTTTCGGAAGCCCCAGGCACACACACGCAAGGAAGCAAACGGGGCAGCGCTAGGTACCTCCCTATGTGGGCTGGAAAAAACCACGCTCGGCTAGGGGCCTAGGGGCCCCTGGCCGAAGCTTTCTCAGCTGCTACCTCGGGGACGAATCCGGTACGACACTGTCGGCCGGCGCGTTGCTTGCAATTGCGGTACCCTTGACCTCAGCTTGTTTACGACGGGAGCATGGCTGGGCTTGTGGGCTAGAGCCAAGACGTTAAGAGCTAGCATGAGGGCCCAGCAGCGTCGGTTACGGCGAGGCGTATTAAGAACCCACGCTTCCTCCCTCAATTCTGCCCCTGGTTTGTTTCCTTACCTACGAACTATTCGAGTTCAAACACCATTCCTTCCCACCTGAGCCGGACTCTTCTCTCTCACGCACACATTCTCTCAAACTCACGACGTCAACGTCCACTCCTTCCATTCTTCAATCTGTGCGAGTTCATTCCTGTTGAACAGAATCTCGCCTAACCTTCCTTTAACCTTCACACTACACCGCGTTGAGATACCCTTTTGTCTCTCACATCAAGAGACATATCACAGCTACAACCACGCCTTTGGTTGGAATCAAGAACTCGAAAACAACAACAACAGAAAAAGGAACTATCAAGAACTCACAATGAAGTCCTTCACCATCGCCTCTGCCCTCTTCGCCGCTGTGGCCGTTGCCCAGCCCCATGGCAAGATTCACGGCATCCACCACCGCCGCCACCACCAGAACGCCGAGCGTGACGTTGTCGTCACCGAGGTCGAGTGGGTGACTGAGTACGAGTATGTTACCAAGATGGTCGACGCGACCACCACCGTCTGGATCACCCCCGGCCAGGAGCAGGCCCAGCCCACGACCTCTGAAGCCGCCAAGTTCGTCGAGACCCAGGCCCCCTCGCAGCCTGCTCCCAAGATCAAGAAGCCTGCTGAGAAGAAGCCTGCTCCTACCACCACTCTGGTCACCAGCGTCTACACTCCTCCCCCTCCTCCCCCCGAGCCTACCACCACCACCACCGAGGTCAAGGAGGTCCCTAAGCCCAAGGTTACCACCTATGAGGCTCCTGAGCCTGTCACCACCCAGCAGTATGTCCCTGAGCCCGAGCCCACCACTTCTGCTGCCCCTGCCCCTGCCGCTCCTTCCACCGGCAGTGACTCCGACGACGAGGAGGAGTCCAACAACGGCGGTAGCTCTGGTGGCAGCGGCGGCGGCAGCAGCGCCGCCAAGACTGGCGAGTTCACCTACTACGACATCGGCATGGGTGCTTGTGGCGATGACGACTCCGGCAAGGACGAGTCTGAGAACATTGTTGCCCTCTCTCACCTCCTGATGGGCACCGTCTCCAACGGCAACCCCATGTGCGGCAAGACCATCACCATCAAGGCCAACGGCAAGACTACCACCGCCGTCGTCAAGGACAAGTGCATGGGCTGCGCCGTCAACGACATCGATGTCAGCAAGAAGTGCTTCAAGGAGATCTCCGGCGATCTCGATGCTGGCCGCATCGAGGTCGAGTGGTGGTTCAACTAAGCACCTTAACCACAATGGATGCTCTCCCAGGTCTGGGAAAGCATGCAGTGCGCAACTTGTTTCAATTATGACCTCTTTTTTCACGACATGGGAATCTTGACACCCCTTGAAGGCGTCGGGGCGTAAAAGCAAAGGGACCTCGGGAGACGAGATGATGCATGTGTATATTCAGCCTCTATTCTATCTCGAGGCCCTTTGACAGATTCTGGATTGGGGTGTTTCGGTTTCTTGGAGGGCGGGTTCACTATGGTTCGCTTTCGTTGACTTCTTCTATGTACATAACACGTTTTTGATTTTGGCATGTGCAAGTTGGATAGACAAAGAAAAGTCCCGAGAATGAATGGGACTAGATTTCAACCATTTGGAAGTGTCTATTGCATTGTGATTTCCGCCTTTGATTGCGTTAATGTCGTGGCAGATGAGTCCATGCTTGGCTGATCTTTGATTAGACTACGCCAAGAGGGTTGAAATTGGGGACCTTGTCTTCTCGACGACGTCTGCTGTACACCCACCGTATTGATCCTCCAGAATCCTTCTGCCGTCAGCTGCATAAGGGATCTCCCGCCCTGTATGAAACATTGGTAAATAACCCGAGTTCAATGTACGGGCCCAAATGAAGATCTCTCGGTCGAGGGATAAATTACAGAATAGCAGATGGAGGTTCCATTTTACAAGCATTGCGTAAAACATTTCGGGATCCCTGAAAGATCGTCCACGAGGCACTCGTACTTTATTAGCAGGGGTGTGTCTCGTCGTAGTAGTTTGACCCCTTCATGTCAAATTCATTCATTCAACCCGGCCCCTCCGCTCCCTCCCTCCCTTCCTCCAATAATAAATCTACAAAGACTAACCATGGAAAGCGCAATTGAATTGAGTAAACAGGAAAAGAGGTTGGGTTGGTGGTGGTTGACCCTTGTTCCAGAGTGGCGTTCTATTAATACGGGGGTGTGAAGCAGAGGATGGGGTTGCACGCAAATTTAGAGGGACAGCAAGACGGACTTGATGCTCGTCCATCCCGTCCCAAGAAGCAGGCAGAGGTAGACCAGCAGACCGTAAGACATACAGCGCATTGCACCGCACCCCGTACCCACCAAGCACCAAGGGGGGGAGGAGAACAAAGGGCCCAGGCATAGCACAGCCTCTCTCTCAGCCTTAAAATTAGCAATACGGGACGGATACGCGTGCCCCGACCCCGTGCTGTCCGTCCTGTGTTCTCAGGTGCCGTAGCGTAGGTAGGTCTTACAGCAGGCTTACAGCAAGCTCAACAGCTCCTCCACGTACCGACGTGTGTCAACGCCGATGCCCTGAGCCAGCCTCCCAGCGCCATCGCCGCCGCCGGTAGAGGCGTCAGTGCGGAACCCGACATGGTCGCTTGCCCGGCGGATTAGAAAGATCTCCTTGGCTACCTCCGGAGTGCGCGGCTCTTGCGAATCCGAGCCATCGCTGCTATTGTTGTCTTGATCGGCAGCCTGGTCAGGGTCCGTTTCGCCCACGTCGGCGCCGGTTTCGTGAATTGTCGAGAGGTTGGTGCTCGCCGAGGGATCTTCCTGGCGGTCCAGCAGGCGTGTCCAGACGATCCACCACCCGCGGCTCGACTTCTCAGTCCGCTCGAGGGCGGTGGCGCGGGCCCGGGTCGCAGCGTACAGGTTGAGGAGGTGGAGGTGCGTGTTGAGGGCGTCTGGGCGGGACCAGGGCTTGGGATCGATGTACGTATCTGGGATATTGGGTATGGAGGAGTGCACCGTCAGGGAGTGAGGATCCCATATGAGGTCGTATATGTTGTTCCCTGCGTTCCCACCACTGCCACTGCCAGACCCGACATCGGCTCCAGGCCGCTCCGGGCGGTATCTCGTCGAGGCGAGGAGGGGTTTGCGGAGGGGGGCAAGCTGGTGGTGCAGGGAGCGGTAGAGGGCGTCCATGGCCAGGGAGTCTGTTCGAAGGTTAAACAGAAAGGCGAACATGAAGGGTCGGTTGACGTAGACCACGACCCGTAGCTTCTTGGCCTTGTTGAGATCGTGCGAGTCGTAACCAGGCACCATGTTGCCCACAACCTGGGACTGCGTGAGAACGCTGGCTGGGTGCTCAAAGTCGCGTACAATAGTGGCCTCTGGTCGACCCAGAGCCTCACTCTCCAGCTCGACGTTCACAGTCCGGAGAACGGTGCGCGAGTTGTGCTCGGCGGCGCCCGCTTCATCTGAGCTGTGACTATCGGGATCGCTGTATTCATCGTCAATCTCCCCTTTGAGACCGATGAGATAATGACCAGCCGCTTCATATGAGGGTGTACGGCCAGCGAGATTTGGTCGAGAGGGTTTAGAAGCGTCCTCCTGGGCAGGCTTTGACTCCTGTTGTGGTGTGCCTGCCTCCGGGGGCTCCTTGGTAGAAGATTCCCCAGGAGTATTAGTACCAGTACCACCACCGCCACCAGGCAGAGACCAGTATGTGCCGTAGCCCAACTTCAGATAACTAACCATTTTATCTAGTTTGCCATCTTCGGTCTCCCGTGCTGGTGGTTGGTCATTGCTTGCGTCGTCAGCGGCCGCGGGCTCTGTCTCTATCGCCGCCTTTGAGGGTTCACCGGCCTCAGCTGATGCTGGCTGTGCAGAAGCGGCCTGCTGTGCAATAGCGCGGCTGGCCCTTCTCTTCTTTGCCCGCCGAACCGATGTTGGGCTCTCAATGACTCCATAGGCGTGGTCTCCCCAGGTATACAGGTCCTCCATCCATTGTGTCACATCTCTCAGAGACTTTCTGGACAAGGCACCAGTACCCAGGAAGATTGCACCGTCCTCAGAACTAGGCTCTTGGCCGGTTCCAAGCCATTGTTCAGGGTCACCATTCGGCGCATCTGGGGGAGGCGAATCGGGATTGTAGTCCCCAAACTTGGAAACAACTAGATCGACGAGACCTTCGATTCTCCCGACCAGGCCCTCCAAGACTTCTCGTTCGCCGCTTCCACGGTCTTCCTCACCAACTCCAACCCCCAGTTCGCCCGAGGCGGCGACATTGATGCCACCAAAGATACCGCGGGCTGGATTTCCATGCATAGCCACATTCCACGTCGAGAGAAACAGGTCCCAGTAGCGGCTGAGCACAGTCACAAACTTGATTCGCTTGGTCCGTACGAACAGGGCGCTCAGGGACGAGTCATGATGCAGGAGAAAAGTGCTATGGGCTCGCAATAGATCCCGTAGAAGCAAATTTGCAGGCTTCATCTCGCGGCTGGAGTATTCATATCGTTCTTCGGCAGGTTCGCTATTCCTGATGGCGAGTCGTGGGGGAAGAGGCAGCTTGGTCAGGTCGATGCTCTAGATATATTGGTCAATAAAGACCCCCAAACAAAAGGTAAAGTAATCAAATCTTACGGCCAGAATCCACCACCCGGGCTCCAGCTCGTGGAGTATCACTCTCGATTTCTCAGTATCGATAGCATCTACAGGTGCACCATTGGCAAAGCCGCGACTGAAGCTGGCCATGCCCTGGGCGAGGCCTATCTGTCGGAGACGCTCATTGCGCTCCTCGGGGGAAATATCCTTGGTAGGTTGACCGCGTGTGCGTCGACGCTTGTGAGAGGAGGTCTGGGTGGTGACAGAGGCGTAGTAGACGATCTGGTCGTCGATGGTCTCGTCTGTGTTGCCAAGCGAGGGGTTGAAGATGGCCAGAAAGCCCAACTGAGCGGGCACAATAGACCCTGGAGCCGCAGCTGCAGCCCCTGGACGCGCGGCCATTGTGACGGTGTCTTGTATCTCTTCGCGATGTCTTCGTTTTTTTTTTTATTCAGGCGTCCAATGTTGGGCTCCGTATCGGTTGGCGCTGGAGGATGGAACTAGGTAGCTTCGATGGCTCAGTAGATCGGCAATGACGGCGGGCCGCCTCCAAAAGAAGCTCTCCCAAGTACCCGCGACAACGCCCAAACGCGCGCGGGTATGAAATGCATAAAAAGGGTTGAGATTAGAAAGAAGAGAGAATTTAAAAAGGTCAAGAAATGAGGGGAAGAGAATGTCTCTGCTACCTTGGCCAGAGCTGGCGGCGGGCAGGCGCAAAGTGCGGTTGCAGCGGGAGGTCTCGACCGCGCTCGCTCGAGTCGAGTTGGTTGTTAGGACGGAGGAAGGGGGTCCGACTCCGATCCAACGACCGACTACGACTCGATGGACGAGCTCGCTACTCGTCCAATTGGAGTTATTGCGTCATGTGGGACAGACGCCGTAGCGATAGAGCAGCTTGCGTAGTTTTTGGGCGAGGGATCGTGCTTACAAGATGTGATCGAGATGAGAATTGCCCGAGAGGACGGATCGCAAACTGTCCATGTTATCGGCCAAAGCCCAGCTAGCTTCCTGGTATATCCCACCCACCAGGTACTAAGCAGCGCTATCTACGTATTGATCAACAGCCTCTCCTACCCAGTTCTTCCAGAAACCCTCACGCACGGGCTTTTTGGCGCTGCTTATCAGTTTGTCATGAATCGTTCGCTTCTATCAGCTAGAGAGATATGGTGGTTATACAGCATCACAATAGGTATCAAATCCAAGCACTTGTCCACGTCCAACACCAAGTCCATCAAGTACCCTATCCTAGGTACGCATATTCGTACGAAAGTGTGTCTCCTCTGCTCGCGGAAAATATCTGTAGGATCATGGCAAATCATCCTTGGTTCTAGACCCCCGCCCTCTCCTGATGAAGGAATGATACTCCCTCATCACCTTGTCCCGGTTTTCTTTAAAGGTCTCGCGAAGAGACTGAGACTGGTCAGACTCGAGGCTCTCACTGCTAGACAACCCCCAGTTCTCCCACTTCTTCCACTCTCGCTTCTGGCTGCGCTCGTAGCTGGAGCACTCTGCCCAGAGAAAGTACAGCAGAAAAGTGACGACCGTTAGAGGGATCGTGATGGCCCAGTACAGTCCGAACTGCGGTGTGGATGGGACCCCGATGGCCCCCTTCTTGACTCCGTCCCAGTCAAAGACGTCAGTCGAGAACAGCGCTGATATGAAGCTGCCAGGTAGGAAAAACATGGTGACGAAGGCCAGCGTCTTCATAGAGGCGGCATCTCGAAGGGTGGATATCGAGATGAGGGTGTTGGAAAGGCTGTAGTTCATAGACATTAGGCTCAAAAGCTGAAGTCTTGTTAGCTTGCTTCTGACTTGTTCATCTGCGAGTCAACGTACCACTTCATTCTGGATCTGAGCCCGCTTTAGCGTGTACTCTCGATCCATAACCTGCATCTTCAACCGTTCTTGTAGGACCTGAATGTGGTTCTTCATGATCTTGTCTCCCTCAGAAGCCACTCTTTGGTTTGAGTTCATCGTTCGCTGGGTAAACTCCATCAGGTTCTCCAGTGTCTTGCTCTTCCTATCCGTGCTAGCCAATCGAGAAGAATAGTCGGTGATTTTGGCAGCCACATCTGCCAGTTCACCAGTCGCCAGGTGTTTTCGTTTGGTTTTGAAGTCGGTGTATCCCGTCCTTCCTTCAACGGCCTGGATGTTGTTCTTTATCTCGCCTTGTGTGATCTCGATCTGGCCATGGAGCATGAGACTGCAGAGGAGGGCAGGGAACATGTCATGACTGGCAGTGGACAGTTGCCACCTGCTGTCGCTCTTGAGGAATTGCTTAATGGTCTCTCTCTCCTTTCGTTGGGCTAATAGAATACCATTCGTGGCACTCTGGCGGGCCAACGGTGGTCTGAAGCGACTATGTGACCATATGGCGGCAATCTTGGGCAGATAGCAAAAGACGAAGGCTTGTTCGTCTCCATATGGCTTTGCAACCTGGGGAAAGGCGCTGGCACCGGCAAGGCAACTGGGGAAGTAGTCGTAAGCCAGTTCAAGGCCGAAATTTGACAGCAGCAACTGCTTAACAGCGCCTGGTAGGTCGACGCGGTGCTCATCCATGTTAAACTCAGGCCAAACGAGGCGCAGGACCAAGGTCTCTGTTCCTACTGAGGAGGATCGCGTTTCCAAGGCTAGCCACGTAGGCACATTTTGAACAAGAACAGTGACATCGTAGGCATTGGCGATGCCCGTGTGGTCATTGCGCCAGAGCTCGGTCACCTCGAATTGGGTGACAACCTCGGAAGATTGCTTTGGACGCTGCGGGTTGAACTCGGCGATCTTTTGGTATATTTCCTCCATAGGCGTGGAGCTAGAAGCGTCTACCTAGTCAAGCGGCGTGGCAGTTTTGGCGAAAGATTCTGGAGCTTGGGTTGAGTGAAGGTGATGGCGTCTGCTGCTGTGCAAGAATTGGGAGACGACGTTGGTCATAAGAGCTGGAGAGCCTGTTCAGCTGCTGAGGCTGTAACCGCGCGCTCGCGCGGCAGGGGGCAACCAATTGCCTGACGAGTGCGAGTGAGACATGGGGGAGCTTCAGCCCATGCGGAGTGTCAAGACCCTTGCTTGTCGACCAACATGGACGAATAGTCGTTCAATCTTTGCCGCGGTATCGAGGTTGGGGATAGATTGATCGACCGAGTACTTGTTGTTATCGGCCTTTCATCCAATCTCATCGGTTTAGGCCCGTCCCGAGCCGAGCACTAACGGCCGCCTTGGCCACCAGATGAAAGTTGAGTGTTGGTTGTACCTGAAGCTGTATCAGGCTCTGTCTGCACTGCCACGGAGGGCGAAACACCAACAAGTGCCGGGCAACAAGAGGAAGGAGTGGATTTTCAACCCTTTCTCTAGCACACTTACAGCACACATAGTGCGCAGCGCCTGGTCAAGTGGTTGACCCCATTAACACACTGGGAAACCAAACTCGTCTAACACCTAAAGTCTACCTTTGACCAGGCGCGTATAAAGGAAAGAAGAAGCCCTAAAACGCCAATAACACACCCAAGCTTTCGCTGTTCTAGGTTGAGGCTGTGGCATCTCACGCCCGGATTGAGACTGCCGCGCAAAGACGGCGAATGTCAATGTGGCTTGGAGTTAGTTGGGCAAATCATCTCGATCAGCTCAAGCCCCAGGCCATATCCTTTGAGGCGAAGCAGCCGTTGGAACGACTGCAGCTCACAGTGTTCACTGCTCAGATCTTGCCAATGAGACTCTGAGACAATGATTGCAAGCAGCAAAAAGCAACTCAACTCGACAGCAGATCAATTCCTCTTGCTGGCACCCAGCCAAGACACACATTTCCCCAGCCACGAACCCAAAATAGACCCTGAAAATCGATAGCCCAGAACTTTCAGTGCCGCTGCTACTAAGAGCTTACTGTACGGAGAAAACCCCCCACTAGAGGTCCCCTCTTTCGGTGGTCGGTTTGCGACTTGACTTGCTGCCCGGGGACCTACACGCAACCGGTAACTGAACAAGGTCTAGAACTGTCAGATGTAAGCAGCTGAGGAGGGAAAACATCATCCTCCCATCGTCTACGCCTCTCCTGACGCATCGCGTCGTTTGGAATTGATTGGGAAAGGTCCCCGTAAATATCCAACAGTTCCCGGTGCCCCAATCGCCAGAGACCTACGTCATCCCCTTCAGTATCGTTGTCACCCTCTCGCACTCTCTCGGACTCGGGCTCTTCCTGGACGTCTTCAGATCCAACATCCAATCTCACCTCGTGTCCTGTAAGCTTTATTCCCCACGGCTGACAGGCCATCCGCCTTTTTCTTCTCTCCTCCTACATCATCACCATCGCCATTGAACAATCCACATCATTTACAACTCCCACGAGGACCGTTTTCGCTTATATTCAAGCTAGGTCCTCTGGCCTCATTGCGCATCCCCCGCTAAACCGACGCTCGCCATGGAGTCCTTCTCTCTGCTCAAGCGTCGCACCACCGACCTTTTTCACAATGTGTCGCAGAACCTCCCTTCCATGCCCATGCCCTCTGTCCCTGCTGGAGGCGGTGCTCCGCGCAGGGACGCCATCAAGGGTACTTGGGAGCGCATCGAGGTTCCTCCCGTCCCCCGCTCTTCCCACACTCTCGACATCGTCCACGGCTCCGCCTACATCTTTGGCGGCGAGATCGAGCCACGTGAGCCCGTCGACAACTGCATGCACGTCGTCACCCTGCCCTGGAGCAGCGCCGGTGCCGATTACTACAAGATCAAGCCTGTCGCCGCGAAGCCCGATGAGCAGGCCCCAAAACCAGAGCCCGAAGCTCCCGCAACCACAGCTCCTGCAACCACCGAGGCGCCTGCTGAAGCAGCTACTAAGCCAACTGCTGAGGCAAAGAAGCCAGAGAAGGAGACAAAGGAATCTGACGACGATTCTGACGACGACTCCGAGGAAGATTCCGAAGAAGACTCTGAAGAGGATTCTGAGGATGATTCGGATGACGAATCTGAGGCAGGAGCTGAAAAGGCCCTTGATGATGTTCCTCTCGCCTCGCCAATTGAGAGCAAGGCCAAGGGCAAGCAGCCCGCCATTCCTGAGCCTCTGGTGCTCGGTGATGTGCCGGCCCCGCGAGTCGGCCATGCTTCCGCCGTCATTGGATCCCGCATCTTCCTCTTTGGCGGCCGCGGTGGCCCTGACATGACACCTCTCGACGAGGCTGGCCGTGTCTGGGTATTCGACACCCGTGCCAACAATTGGTCATATCTTGATCCAGCTCCCGCTGTCAAGGGCGGCAACATCGTTCCCCATCCCGCTCCTCGAAGCTATCACACGGCCGCTGCTATCGACCGCCCCCGGGACTTTGCTTCCCCGCGACCTAAGCAGCCCGAGACATGGTCGGAGTGGGCTCTAGGTGACACCTCCAAGACTGGTATCCCTCAGGATCCCATTGTTGGTAATGTCGCTGAAGATGCCGTTGACGAGGAGTCCAACGGTTACGGCACATTCTTCATTCACGCTGGCTGCCTCACCAGTGGCGAACGCACCAACGACATCTGGGCTTTCAATGTCCACGATCGTACTTGGAGCGAGCTCCCCGCCGCCCCTGGCCCTGCCAGAGGTGGCACTGCCATCTGCATCAGCAAGAGTCGTCTCTTCCGCTTCGGTGGCTTTGATGGGGAGACGGAGCTTGGAGGACAGCTGGACTTCCTGCATCTCGAAGTCGAGACCTTTGATGACCAGGGCTCCAAGGGCGAGGTCTCCGTCCGCGCTCGGGGTGGCTGGCAGACCATCCTGCAGAGTGACCCTAACTCTGAAACCACAGAGATCCACGCCGAACCTTCTCAGGTGTGGCCTGAGCCTCGCAGCGTCGGATCCTTCGAGGCCATCACCGTAGGTGGTGGTCGTGAGTACCTCGTCCTGACCATGGGCGAGCGCGAGCCCAGCTCCGAGGGTCATGCCGGCGCAGGCAAGTTCCTCGACGACGTCTGGATGTTCCAGGTCCCCCCTCTGGGCATGACAGCCGCCAGCGTTACAGCTGCCATGTGGCAGGCCGTTGGTCGCAAGACGGGTGAGGGCAAGTGGACTCCGGTCGACCTGGAACCCTATGACGACGACAACAGCGACGAGCTGCCCGAGTCGAGAGGATGGATTGCGAGTGCGCCCATGGGTGAGCTCGAAGAGAACGGTATCCTCATCTGGGGTGGTGTAGCCGAGGACGGACAGCGACTCGGAGACGGCTGGATCTTGCGGGTGGGCGAGTAGTATATGGAAGGAAAACTTGGATATACATATCTTTGGGTTTGGAGGTTTCCTTTTGGCGCGACTTGAATATTTCGAAATGGGCAAACGTTTTCACATCGGTATGAGTGAAGAAGGCAAGAATCAATGAAGTAGGAAAACCACACAGTTGATTATCTCACGTAGTCTCTTATGAAATCCAAACGTTCTATACCATGCATGGATTACATTCAAGGCAGTGTTATGTACAGTCGTTGCCTCCTCCCGCGCGGCTCTTTTTCCATCATCTGCCTCTGATATTCCATGCCCTTGAACTTAAAAAGATGAATTGATATTGCATTGTAATTCTACAAGTCGGACCGCGTGGTCTCGGTTCCCCAGGGCTCCGCGAGCAGGTTCGTCTGGCCGGCGCTGTTCTCGCATGTGCTTCGGCCGCTGAGGGGGCCGGGCTTGGGGACGCTGACGGTGGAGGGATCGGTGGCAGTGGCGCTGGCCTTGAGGGCCTTGAGGAGGTCGACGACGGACTCGGGGGTGAGGTCCTCGTAGTAGTCGTCGTTGATCTGGATCATGGGGGCGTTGACGCAGGCGCCGAGGCACTCGACTTCGAGGATGGTGAAGAGGCCGTCAGCTGTGGTCTCGCCCTGCTTGATGCCGAGGTGGTTCTTGATGGCCTTGACGATGACGTCTGAACCGCAGCCTCCAAGCTGGCAAGGGGTCTACCGAAGAAATTGTCAGTTGATTTCATGCTTATCCATTGTCTGGGTCTTCAATGACGTCTATCCGCCTCGATCCGAGAAACCGTCCGATACGGCTACAGCCGACCAGAACAGCAATTGCCATTCCCAGATGCGTGCCATTGAATCCCCAAGTTGAGCAGTAAGAGAGCAAACATACAGTAGTGCAGATCTGGACAAAGAACTTGCCCACGGGGGTTCGGTTGTACATGGTGTAAAAGGACGCAACCTCGTAGACTCGCATGGGGGGCATCTCGAGGAGGCGGGCGACCTCGTTCATGACGCTGATGCTGGTGAAGCCGTGCTGGCGCTGGCCGAGGTCGAGCAGAGGCATGACGGCGGCCTTCTTGTACTGCGGGGGGTATTTCTTGAGGATCTCGGCAATCACGGCCTGGTTCTTCTCGTTGAACTTGAAGGGGAGCTCGGGGTTGTTGTCCTTGGTGTTGCGATGCTGTGGCACACGGAAAAAGATGTCAGACACAGGCTCCCATTCATTGTTCAAGACTCTGCACTTCGGTAGATGCGTGCATGGCCGCAATTGGGAGCGCCAATTGACGACGGGGAGTGGTTGCTTACCACCATGAGGGAGTCGCTCGGTCGGCGGGCTGAGAGGGAGAAGGCGGCTCGGGTCTGGGGGCGGGCTGCCCGGCACGCCGGCCGGAGGGCAGATCGGAGAAGAGGTGAAATCTTGCTCGCCATTGTGACGGGGGAGATTGAAGAACGGAGCGGCGTCGTCGGGGGAGGAGGTCGGCTTTCGAGGCGATCGTGAGGTCGTCTGGGTCTTGTCAAAATGTCGCCCGTCGTAGAACGAAGCAATCGAATTGGAGCTGCTTGTAAAATGGACATCTGTGATTGGTGCATTCGGCTGAATGTCGGGTTTAGCCGGTGTTGAGCATTGGCCCGACGGTACGTACCGCTTCAACTGTTGCACCCATCTTGAGTTGAGATTCTCATTGAGAAGCGCTATCCACTAGGTTTGTCTTTCATGTTCTACCACTTATTGAGAACCTTCCACCATGTAGTAGACCGAATATTCCCAAACTACATTCGCTTCAATCCGTAGTCCAACTGCATCTCTACAAGTTCACCGCCCAAACAACTCGCAACACCGCCCGGTTCCAGAAGCAGCTCCGTCCAGTGGCCGTGTTAGTGTTGGCGAGTGTATCGATCGACCTTGACATCACTTCCTTGTCGCTCAAACCCTCGCTTACCGGAACTTTACAGAGAGTATGTATATCGTGGCATAGGGCGAAGGAGGTCATATGAGCTTGGGTAACGGGTGGTTCTCTCGTCTCCTTGCTAGCCGAAGATATCTCCTTCGGCCAACACATTTTCAATCCCGCCCTTTCACACCATCAAAGGATTGCACGAGTGGCACCGCATCTCGGTCCAGCTGCCCGCGCGCAATCTGCCAATGTCTCCCCACAGGTGTTGGTTAACACAGCTAGACGTTACTGGGCAGGTCTAGTCATGTCGTGCTTGACCGTCCAGGCTCACCTCTTGTCCAGACTCGATGCGAGATGAGGGCATTGTGCGGCGGTCAGCACAGACATTGGGTCGCCTCCGGTTGAGGAGCCTTGTCATGATCAGCCCTGAACCACCATGGGCTCGGCTGTCACCTTGCCGTGCGTGCCTGGTCTCGGTGAGACGTCAGAGCGAATTTTCTGATTATCTCTTGATGGCCATCTCACTCGCTCACTCGCAACTCGCTTCCTCACGTGCCGTGACTTAGACGACGGCGTACAGGGTCCATATAAGCTTAAAGGGTCGTCGCGTCGTCCCGTCAGCCCAACATCAAAGTCAAAGTACGTAACTTGGACGGGCCTGAACTCTCAGTGTCTGGGCAGCACCAGCACACACACAGACAGAGTCCTTCGGCTACAGGCTTGTCTCGTCGCTCTGAGACAGGACATTGTATTGGGCGGTGATGTGGCACAGCGGCTCATGTCGTGCCCCCTCGAGGCTTCATACCACGGAGCCCGCTGGCCACCCGGTGGGCGAATATCCTGAAAGCGCCCTCTCGAGAGCAGTTCATGTTGGTTCGTCGCTCGTGAGCGACCTCTCATCTCTCAGTTTCCGTGATGTGATGCGGGGACGGGGTTCCCAGGTTTGGCGTAGGGAGCCAGCGCTGTGATGGCTGAGACTAATTTTAGCCCGTTTCGAGCCAGCCCAGGTCGAGAAGAGACAAGCCCGGACAGGCTTAAGCTATTTATTGTATAGAATTATAGGTACAATATCCCCCAGCCACGGCTGCAATTATTGGGCTGGTTGATCTGGCGGCGCTGCTCGCTTCCATTGCCAACAAGTGAAAAAGACGAGGGTCGAGAAAGGAGACTTTAGCCTCAGAGAAGACCAACCCAAGGCTCATCAATAACTGCTGTCCCGTTCCTTCCAGTTCCCTCAATGGATCAATGAGTGCGCTCTTTCCTAACTGAGTATCTCAACCCCCTCCTCCTCTGCCTCTGCCTCAACCTCTCCTATCTCTCTCTCTCTTCCTCTTCCTATCTCTCCTCCTTCAAGCTGCATCCTCTCATCCTCTCGAGATCCTTATACCATGCCAATTAAGTCGCGCTTTTCCGTCACGGTTCCCAACTGTTCTATACAGCAATGGGTCTTCGGCTCTCCTTCCGGTCCTATCTCCAGCAACAAGGCCTGGATCGACCCTGATCGCCCTGAGACGCACTATCTCACCTACTCCGATGCCCGTCTCCTCGCCAAGCGCATTGCCGTTGGCCTAATAGACAATGGCCTGAAGCCAGGTGACCGCGTGCTTCTCATTGCGGGCAATAGCATCTTCTTCCCAACCATTGTGTTTGGAATATGGATGGCCGGTGGCGTCTTTACAGGGGCAGGTCCGAGTTCGGTCACCCGAGAGCTGGCCTTTCAGCTCAAGGATAGCCAAGCCTCCTTCATGATTGCTGCCGAAGAAGTCCTGGATGTTTCATTGGATGCTGCGACTCAAGCAGGCATGAAGAGTGATCAAGTCTTCATGTTTGACTCAACATGGCCGGACTCGCCAGTTCTCGAAGCTGAGCCTCGCAAGGGCAGTCGTCACTGGACTGAACTCATATCTTCCAAGGCAAAGGGTGAAGAGTTTGTCTGGGCTGAGCCAAATGATTCCAAGAATGTCACTTGCACTCTCAACTATAGCTCAGGGACGGTAAGGCATGATTCGATGACCTCCTGGCGTGGACTGACAACCCACAGACTGGAATGCCCAAAGGCGTCGAAATATCGCACTACAATCACGTTGCCAATGGCCTCGGAGTCGTTAGCTTTCAGAAGCTCAACCAAGAGTACGAGGTTCGCACCCGCCGTGCTGCCGCTCTCTGCTTTCTGCCAATGTATCACGCCTTCAGCCAAGGCTACTTCATCACTTGCTTCCCCTACGAGCGGATACCCGTCTATGTTATGCCCTCGTTCGACTTTCCCAAGATGCTTGCTCATATTCAGACCTTGCGCATCACTAAGCTCCTCGCCGTCCCGACCATCCTCATTCTCATGTCCAAACATCCGCTGGCCCGGCGTGCTGACCTTAGCAGCATCGACATGATTGCCTCCGGAGCAGCACCGCTAGCAAAGGACACACAACGGGAGATTAACAGCATGATGCCCCAAGGCGTCTCAGTAGTGCGTCAAGGCTGGGGCATGACGGAAGCGACCTGCACAGCATTGTCGTGGGACCCCAACAAGCCCTCCAGCTCTGCGGTTGGTGAACTCATGCCTGACTGCCAGGCGAGGTTGACCGACATCGAGACGGGGGCCGAGATCACGACTGCGAACACTTCGGGTGAGCTCTGGATCGCGGGTCCCACGGTGATGCGCGGGTACTGGCGCAATCCTACTGCAACACAGGATGCCTTCGTCTTGGACTCGGATGGAACTCGATGGCTTCGTACAGGAGACGTTGCTTACGTAGAGGAGTATACACAAGGAACCCTCTTCCACATTGTCGATCGGGTGAAGGAGTTGATCAAGGTCAAGGGGTTCCAGGTCGCTCCAGCCGAACTCGAGTCTATCCTTCTGGAGAGAGAGGATGTCGCTGACGCTGCTGTCATCGGAGTCATCATTGACGGCGAGGAACTGCCGCGCGCTTACATCGTCAAGACACCCAGTGGCAAGGATACGACGGAACAGGCCATCGCCGACTGGCTGGCCACGCGTGTAGCCAGACACAAACGACTCAGGGGCGGTGTGGTGTTTGTTGATGCCATACCCAAGATTCCTGTAAGCCCCCTTTCTTGACACACAACCAGTCCCAACTAACACATGTCAACCCCAGTCTGGCAAGATTCTCCGCAAGGCGCTCCGCGAACGGGCTCAGCGTGAGGTCAACGACGGCCGAGAGGTGCGCGCCAAGCTGTAGGTCGGCGACGGCGATATGCGTGCATGCTAATCCGTTGTGTTTTCTCGCAGAGCGTGACCCTTGGCACGTCTGCGGGTCCTCTATAGTATTACAGCAAGGCAGTGATGTTAACTGGAGGCGAAGCCGAAACCATCAGGGGAGATTTTAACGTACTAATATGGAGGCTCCGTGGGTTTCGGGTACTGAAGCAGTTTTTTGGGCGGGCATATAAATGGTTCATGTTTCTTTTCACTTGGGGACTCTATATTCATAATCTATATATCACTCACTATTCTTGGCCTCAAGTCTACATCTCAAAGATCACCAATGACGGCTTTGATCTCCTCCTCAAGCGTCGTCGGGATCACCATGACCCTCGCCTTGTCGGCCCTCCCTCCATGGATACGATACTCAGTCGGGAGCTCAACACCTCCCTTGACGCCCAATATCTCGTGGGCCACAGCGACAGCACACCTTGCTGCTACCGGCATCCCGTGGCCCGTGTATCCAGCACTTATCCATAGTCCGCTATCTTCGCCGCCGAGGGCTGCGGGCACCTGACCGACCCAAGGGTACCCGTCCCGTGAGTAACCCATGATGCCCGTCCACTCATACGTGGCGTCCAAAGCAGCCTCCTCAGTCTTTCCAGGCGCCTTGAGCTTGACTGCTTCGTGTAGAGCAGCTCGTAGCCGCTTGCCGATGACAGGATCGACAGAATCGTCTCGCGACACACCAACCTCCCTCTCCGGCACACCCAGCCTCTCACCACCGAGTATGAGCTCGCCCGAAGGCCGTTGAATGAGGTAGTCATCACCACCAGTGGGTGTTTCCCACACGTGAGTGTGCGGCAGAGGCGAGCTGTCCCCAGGAGGAGTCAGGGCGCAGACCTGTCCACGGACAGGGACGAGTATACCCGTGAGCTTGGGGAGGAGGTGAGAGGTATAGGCGTTTGTGGCCAGAACCACCGACTTGGCTGTAATCTGCCCGCGAGGTGTATGCAGAGCCCATGAATCTCCCACACGCTGCAAGTGCTGAACCGGCGTCTTTGTCTGGAGATTGAACACGCTCGAGTCATTCTCACTAAGAAGATTCTCAAAAACCCAAGCAACGAGCTTATACGGCCACAACTTGGCAGCATTAGGCTGATACACAGCCGCATACGCCTGAGGAACACGCAGCTTCTGCAACTCCTCTTTATCAGTGACGATCCTGGCCTGGTCAGCCAGATCAGGAAAATCCCGTCTCAGACGGTCGAGGTGCTTTGATACGAGGTCTAGCACCGACTTTGAGGGGAGGACGTGGACACCTCCGGTGGTTTCCCAGTCGCAGGGGATCTTGTTTTCAGCGACGAGGTCCCGGAGGAAGTTGTATGTGCCCAGCTCGAAGCGGGAGATTGGTGGTTTGGCGGCGTAGATGAATGGTTGACAGTGGCCACCGTTCTGTCCAAATTGTCAGCATATTTCAACTCAATCGATATACTTGACAGATGATAAAAGGATCATGCTTCAGACATCTACTCACCCGTCCTGTAGCTCCCCAGCAAGCCTCCCTCGCCTCAAGAAGCACCACCTTCTTCCCACCGTTGACGAGCTCCCTCGCCGCAAACGCACCCGTGATGCCGCTGCCGACGACAACCACGTCAGTCGTCGCTGGGAGGTCTTCTGTGGTCCGATGGCCCAGCAACTTGTCGGATGGCTGCAGATGCCAGTATGACTTTGTGCTCTCAACACTGGGCAGCTCTGCCTGTCCTTGAAGCGGCGTGGGGACTGTCATGGTTGGGCAAAGTGACTGTTAGGTAGACTAGCTTGTTGTATGTGTAGTCGTTCTCTTTTGTAACCTCGAATGTCGTGGTCTTTTAGTGAGATATCTCGTTGTAGTTGAATGAGTACAAGTGCATCGTCATGTTCAGACCCCGCCTTGTATAGTACCCGACTTACATAACGTGAATGGCGCGAGTTGGGCTTTATCAGACAAGATAGGCATGCAAGATAAACATAACAAGCTGCAGCTTTAACAGTCAATCACTTCAAAAATGCACTTATTACTTGAACTGGTCATATCATATTCATGCCATTTCGTCGTCAGAATCATCACCAACTATCAGATCAACCTCCTCCGTCAGCCATGAATCCAGCTGCTGCCCATTCCCAACGAGGCCTTTCCTCTGGGTGTTCCGGGCTTCAAAAGTATACTCGACGAGCCATTTCTATAATTTACATGATTCCACCTCTCTCTCGAGTCGAGTCAACAATAAGTATCCGTCTTCCGCTCCTTCAATGGCTGGCTTGATGCAATCCTGGGAGAAACCTTTTTAACCGTTCCGCATCCTGTGTCCTTTCCCTTCCCTTCCTCTGCTGATCCCTCGCAGAGCTATGCCGAACTTTTGCAATTATTACTCCCCGTATCCATGTACTCGCAACATGTCTAATTCCATCCAGGGTATTTCGTACACGCAGTCTCCTCCTCGGAGATGCAAATGCTTCAGCTATCCTTCCGTGACTGACCACATTGTCAATATGTGTCATCGCCCGGAGGCTGTGTAAAAAGAAGAAGAAAAAAGAGTCGGCAGGTATAATAGGTAGTCGGCTCAGCTCGGCTCGACATCGTGTCGTAGCTATGCCTGAAAGCAATGGTTTGCGGTTCGAACTGTAAACAACCGACTCAACAAAACGCCTAGCAAACAGCAGCCTCCCGCTGACGTCTTCCATTTCTCGTCGTACCGTCGTATCGTGTCGTGGTGTGGTATGGTATGGTGTGTGTGGTAGAAAGGTGGTGGGTATATCGAGGCACATAATCCTCCCAGTGGCCTCATTCTCCTTATACCCAGTCGGAGCGTATAAACCCGTAGTCAACTGTCCCGGTCCAACATAATGCTGGTGGAGTTCCTCTCCTATCCAGGTTCAAATAAAATCCCAATGTTCCTCAAACATCCGTCATCTCAGTGTCGCTATCACCCGCGATGGACACGGGGAACAATTCGGCTGGTCCCCAGTTTCCCTCGTATACCGTTGCTGGAGCGGCCCGATGTTCGCTAACCCACCGCAGTCCCTCAAGCTCGAGCACCTGGTGCACCGTAGGTCGCTCATCAGGTTCCTGTGCCGTCATCATTCGGACAATCGAATCGAGGGAGCTGGTGTGCATGGCATTAACCATGAATTCAGGGGGTTGCTGCAGTTCCGATCGCTTAAACGAGCCAAACAGGTTGCTAGGATCGTGCGTCTTTCCGCTGATGAAATCATCGCTGTGAGCCGACTCGGTAGGGTTTCCTGTGGCATCTCGTTGGACCTCAATGGATGGTGTCCAGGTGAGACTCGGCACCTCGGAGAGGTCACCTGAACGCAGGGCAATCCACGTGGGACCGTTGTCCGGGAGCACGACATTAGCTGCCGTTTCGAGGATGATGAGTCCAAGCGAGAAGACATCGGCAGCTTGACGTGCCTTACCCTCGAGCATCTCTGGAGCCATGTACTCGCGATCACCCTCTACGTCGACGCCCTCAGTGGATGTGCAAGCCTGGGCAAGTCCAAAGTCGCCAATCTTGAGAACACCCTCAAATGTGATGAGAATGTTGGCTGGCTTCAAGTCGTGGTGCATGAACCCCGCATCGTGAATCTCCTTCAAACCCTGTCCCTAGGTTAGCTGCATAGTCGCACGGCGTGTATCAGCGAAACTTACCAAGCAAAGGTCCTGCAGGATCTTGTAGATGCGGAAATCATCCAATCGGCCACCTTGCCCGACGTTGCCCAGAAACTTATCAAGTGTGCCCTCCTCGCAGAATTCTGTCTGGATGTACAGGTGAAAGTTGTGCTCCCAGTCATCATAGTACTTGACCACATGCTCGGCATGAGACAGAGCCTGCAGAATACGTGCCTCCCGAACCTTAATCTCCCGCTCTCGAGGTCCATGGTAGGGGTGCTTGCTCTTCTTCACAGCATAGACCTGACCCTTTGCGGGGCTACGGTTTCGGGAGCATGGCGTTGTAGACAGACCCTCAAAGTTCATCTGTCGGGGATCCGCCTTGGTCACCCGGTAGACTGTGGAAAACTCGCCCTTGCCAATCTGTTCAACCTTGTCGAATCGGGAATTCAAGCTTGCATCGACATCAAGATTGCTCGTGCGGGCGTTGACTGGTGTTACAAGAAGGCTAGTGGATGATCGAAGGTCCCGGCCTGCTGTAGGTGTGACGGGAGGCGGCATGTCGGAGTAGCTCTCGCTAGTCTGAGAGATCGAAAGTCGGCTGGTATCGAGGGGGAGAAGACTCTCCTGAGGAGTCTGTGGTGTACGGCGTCCATCAAGAGGGCTCGCTGGATCAGAGAGATTTGTTTTAGTAAATGCTTCACGATAAATCAATGGTTGAGACATGAGAGATGTGCTAAGAGAGGAAGGGGAGTGAAGCCCACGCTGGGCTCTCGAGCGACTGAGTGAAGAATAAGGAGGTGAAGGCGAATGCCGACGCTTGAGGGTGACGAGCCGATCTGGAATTTCGACCATGCCATCCACGGCGTTCGGCTTCGTGAGGACCGACTTACAAGTTGCTTCTCGAGGTATTGTCGAACCGACAATGGGGGTGGGGGCGTGAAGAGTCCGGTTTGCGCTTGGGCTTTGATTGGCACTGTGGCACTCGAACGACTTCTCGCTAACCTTGCTCAGGCTAGGAGTGAGACTGTTCTTTGTGGGAGTGGGGGGAGCATCGCCCTCCATGGGGTTTGAAAAGTCGATGGTTTCACCAAAGAGCTTGTGCTCCTCGCCATCCAGGCTAAGGATGCTGCTGCGGCGTGAGCTTCGGGAGGCATTACCGCGCTGGAAGATGGCCAAGCCCTTTCCAGGGTTACCAAAGCTGTTGGGAGCTGGGGCGCCGATAGGGTTAAAAGGTGTAGAAGGAATGCCTCCAAAAGAATTACGGTTGTTACCCCTCTTCTTAAGGGCACTTCCTGCTGGCGGAGGAAAGGTGGCGAAGGGGTTCGAGTGCTTCTTGCATGGAGTGTCTGGCGGTGCCATCTTCTTGTCCGCCTCCTCTTCAGGGTTTCGGTTCACCTTGGAAACCAGGCCTGTAGAGCTGAAAGCGCCAACCCACAGTTGCGACTTGTTGGGAGTCGCCATCGCCCTCGAAGGGTCATTCGGTCTTGTCGGTCGAGTCGCATTAAGAGGCAGAGAGCGAGAAAACAGGTGAGGTCTGGGGCGATCCGGCATTCGTGCAACCGGAGCATAGATAGGCGTCTCCTCCGTCAGAGAGTTGCCAGAAGAGGATGTTGTGAGAGTCTTGGAGAGGGGGTGAGGCTGGAAGGTCCTGTCCCCGGTGAAGGTGGGCGGCTTAGAGGTAGGTGTGGTTGAAATGAAGGGGCTTTCTTGAGGCACGGGGGGAGGGACGAACTGGTCCAGAGAAAGTCGTGGTCGGCTCCGGCTTGGTGAGAACTCAGAGCTGATCTGAGCAAGCTGTCTCTCACCCGATCGCCTACCCCAAGATCCACGCTCGCCATATCTTTGCTGAAGAGTTGATTTCCGTAGCGAAGACGACCTCTTAGGAACCGTCGTTGTTGGCGTAGGAGAAGGTAGTGGCTCGCGGGATGGGGCGCCGCCATTAGCGGAGAGTTCATATTCAGCAGCCGCGTCTTCATGGATATAAAAGCTCTGTGAAGACGTCGTGTTTGAACCGAAAATGTTCTGATCCTCGTTCTGGCCCAGTCCTGTGATTCCATGCAAGCTCCGTCGCTTAGCCACCGGGCTTCCTTGGCTGGGCTGGTCCAGATTCATGGTCGCATCGCTGCGCTTGAGCGGGCAGTTGTTCGAAACCATGAAGTTGTCGTTGTTAGTATCAAAGGATTTGAAAGGAGATTGAGAAGAGCCCGAGACGTCGAGGTGCACGCTGTGGCGCTTCTCAGAGCTCTTGGGGCTTGTGGCTCCAAGCGCGTTGTTCTCCTGCCCCGATGATTCAATGACAGCGGGTGTGGGCACCATTGGGAGTGAGTTGCCGCTGTCGGGTGCCGTGTTAAGCGCTCTTTTCAAGGGACTCTTTGGTGATGCACGCGCTCGTGTCAAGGGCCTTGAAGGAGACGTCTTTGCTGCTTTGGCTGATCGCAGTGATAGTCTGACACTCGGGCGGAAAGGTGTAAATATGGCCTGGTGCGCGCCCGCGCCGTTAGCGTGAGGCGGTGCTGAGCGAGCGTGCGGTGACAGAGGATGTTGATGCTGCGGTGTTGAGCCGAGTCGGCGGCAGGGCGATTGAGGGGAAGTGTGGTGCGGGCTGTCGGGGCTCTGCGTGTTAGAGCGCGACAGGAATTTTGATGAGGGAGATCGTGAGATAGATCGTCTCAGAGTGCGCACAGCTGATGTGACGTCGATCTGGTGAGCGTGTGTTGGCGACGGAAGGGCCAGTGTGCCACCGCTGCTGTTGGAGAAGGACATTGTGTGCGTGGAATGCTAAGCGTTCGGGGGTATCGCGGGCAGCCAGCAGAAGAGGAATGCCCACGTAAGCAGTACTAAGGTTGTATGCGCAATAGTCCTTCTTGTTCTCTATAATTCGAGAGAAAAGGCAGGTAAGAATTCAGTAGGGGCGAATCGAAAGTCGTAGCTCGGTGGTCGGCCGAAGATTGGTGAATGGCCAAACAGAGCTGCGTGAACGTCGAATCGAAGAGGTGAGAGAAGTAGCTCGAGGCGATACCCTACAAAATCGCGAAAAGCTGTGCCAGTCTCACTGGGATGCTAGAGGTCATATCATGACTCGGAAACCGGAGGCAGATCGAACACTAGGGCAGGCAGACGGTTTTGTAACGAGTGCAGGCAGCAGTCGGATCGCGAAGAAGTGATGTCGTCAAGCAGGCAGCCAAAAAAAGGCGGACCGGGATAATATGAACAAGTTGTGATAGAGCAAAGGTGAGTGTTGACAAGAGGGGAAGAAGGGGACGGAGGTTGGAACTACTCGGTAGTAGTATGAGTGCTTGTCCGAACTATTAGATAGTCTTGTCGCGCGTAATCGTCCTCGCTCCGGGGGTGGACGGATTCAAGAAACGGGGAGAAGATAGTGTGGGCAGTTACACCATGGCGCTCGTCGGCATCGGCGTCCTGACACAAACCAAACACCCGTGAAAGTGAGTCGTCTCTTGTCTTTGCGTGTGCGTCCTGGTTTGTCGGGTGCAAGAGAAAGAACCCCTCGTGTGGCTGCGTTGAAACCAAGAACCCTTTCTCAGGGCATAGCGCGGATCCTCCAACGGGGTCTGGTGACTCAGGACGTCAGGTCGAAAGGACAACGAGTGGTAGTGGCGAATCGGGCTGGTATGCACTTGGCTCGTCTGGTTTGGAAAAGTTGGGAAAAGACCCAGAGGGTGTGGGAGGAATTGAATTGGAAGGGCGAGAAGAGAAGATGATGGGATGGATGGACAAGACAACCTAGAAGAGAGATCCGGGACTCGAGGGGTCTAGGATTACCTAGGATTGCGCGTGTTAAGTTAGGCGGGCGGGCGCACGCTGGCAGTTGATGGACTGGACAGGATGGACGGTTGGCCCGTTTAGTTTTAGAAGGGCACCCCCCGTAAAATGCAGTGGGGGTAGTCGCCAAAACCTACCTTGACTCCTGCCCAAGGCACGAGGGCCAGCCAGCAAGCGGGAGAGAGTAAAAGGGCAAGCGCGGGTGGGACGGCCAGGTAGGGGAGGCGCGGTGGGGAGAGGCCGGGACACGGGACAAGGAAGCCACTGACGGGGGACCATCGAGCAAATTGGTGCGCGCTTGAGAGGTGAACAAGGCAGGAAGCAGCAGGCTGGGGCAGGAGCGCGTCCACGAGAGGTGACGCATTTGTTTACAATGTTTCCTCAAAGGGTAAAGCGCGACACGAAAGACGCGTCTCTTCAGACAAGGGGGGGGCAGGAGGTGGGCCCCAACGCACCTCCCCAGGGCTCCCCTTGTCAGGCCATGGCGCCGGGGCTGGTCCCCCGTAGGCCGTAGCCCGCCGTGGTCCGTCCACCTCCAAGGCTTTAGCCATCATCAGGACAATCACATTCCCCTCCGTCTAAGACGAGGTTTTTGGCTTCCCGCGCTGTGTCTTTGTTGTAGTCTACTACGTACGTAGTAGTTCTGGCAACGACGGACCGGCGCAAAGGGGATGACGGTCCTAGATCTTCAGGGAGAGCACGTTTTCTATGACGGGAGTGTGCCGCAACTACGCCAAGCTCCGGCAGGTGAGTTTTGATAGTTCCTGAAGCCGAAACTTGCCAGTCTGCAACATAGGAGACAGTGACGGGGCATCCATATCTCAGGGAGACGACTCTCCACTCTGCGGCCTATTGTCGAGGCTATGTATCGCTCGCTTCGTGTTGCCCTTTCTCAGGGCAGATTCGGGGCTCCTATTCTCCCATAACCCACCCGGCCCCGTCGATACAACTAACAACAGCAACTCTCTGATGAGACAGACTGACATGTCCCAGCGCCAGCGCGCCAGTGCTCGAAAGCCCCTGTCGTCGATGCTCCACTGGGCGCATCTCAGCGCCAGTGCCCAGGGGTCCTCCCGTCCTGAGGTGGCCCTGATTGTCGTCTCTCGCAGGTCCCAAACCCAAAGACCAGCCCCCCAAGCCAGCCAAGCCAGCCCTCCGACCTCTCTCAGGTCTAGGGGCTCTTGCCAGGGGGTTCCCAGAAGTCTGGCAGTGGACGGGGGTTTCCACGTCGCCTCGCGCCCGTTGTAGATCATCCATGGCATGGCATGGAATTGGGACGAGATGGGATGGGATCGTGGTAAGATGGCACGAGGTGATCTCGAGTATCCCATCTATAGACTGAAGCTGTGGGCTCAGCGCTTCTGCTGGTCGCTCGCGTGGTCGCAGACTTTCAACGCTCAACGGATGGACAAGATCATACTGCTTAGGCGCTGTAAGGCCGCAGAAGGTCGCAAGCAAGATACGATGGGGCCGTGTTGCGGCATCTTGATGCCCACCGGTTCGCTGGCTCCCGTCCTTCAGACCATTCAGCGTCATGATTGCCGCCGTCAGTCTTTGGTGAGCATGCCTCATCCCGGGACCCATCAAGCCTTGTCTCGTACTTGGAGCCCGAATACGTCGAGCTTACACATACGGGTAGGTACACCAGAATCGATGTCAATGAGCTACTAGGTAGCATCTAATAGGCCTTGGCCAGCTACGTCTTCGTGCCAGTTGCTGGAGCTTGTCTCGTCTTGCATGCTCTGGCAGCATCACGACCTCTCTTGTGGTTGAGCAGCCGCCCCGTGGCCCTCGTCTTCTGGCCGGCCGGTCCAGTGGCCGCCACCACCTAGCCAGCTCATCGGGCACGCACCAGCACACAGCACACACCAGCCCAGCACATCCATCCATCCCATGTGCATCGACCCCATGGCATCAGCCATGCCATGCCATGCCCTTCCATCCCGATGCACCGGGCCTCCATGACGCGCAGCAAATCTCCTCGATCAAAACAAACAAACCCATCCCTCATGCCCCGTTCCCCATCTCATCCCCCATCATCCCCTATTACACAGCACACTCCCCACTAGCTGACGGTGGTAATTTGATCTTTAATTATGCTCTTTATGCCGGCCAGCCCATGTCATTTCGCTTCTTGTGGGAGACTCCGGGGTTGGCCCCGCCGGATCCGAGAAGGAGACGTTGTGAGTCGTCGGACAAGTCATCCTTTGTCCCCTGCCTGCAAGCCCCCAAGAGAGGGACCACCCGATGGCTCATATCAAAGTTATCGCAGCCCAGGCTTCGAGATTTGGAAGCTCTCCGATCCCGCCAGGCCACCAATGAGGGCTCCCTCTCGGCATATGTCTGCTTCTGCTGCTTTTCTTGGAGCTGCTCCGTGCTTCTTCAACGACGTCGATGGCCATACGTACCATGCGATGCCATGCCGTGCCGACTTACACGGACCGAGCCAGACGCACGACATGACCACCATGGTCGCCTTTGAATCCGCTTGCAACCTTTTTCTCCGGACGAACGCACAGCACACAACCTAACCTAGCCTCGCCTCGCCCCGCGCTCGCATAACTTGCACTAGACAAGCTATGAACAGGGGCTGGATTGGCTGTGCACAAAGGGGGCTCGCGAACTTGTTGACCGCCTGACTGGTTGCATATTTTATGGGACGTCCGCTGCAGCTAGTAGGCCGTTGAAGCACACCGCACAACTCTTGCGGCTCTGTGAAATGAACCCCTACTGCATTCATATTGCAAGGGGCCGTCTAGGCGGCCTCGAGCAGAAGCGGTCTGCATCACCGAGACCAGTTTTTACTTCTCCTGAGCCCCTATTCACGTCGAGTTTCTGGAACAACGAGCGTTGTCCTGGAGTTACACGATGCGAGCTGCGGGCGGTGCTCGGATGCCGATATAGAAGCAGCTCGGGTTGGATACGGGCTACAGTAGGTACGGAACCACAACTACTATCGAGGGATGCCTCCACAGTGCACAAATTCAAATTGGCTGTCCTGTGCTGTGCCGTCCGGTTTAATTAAGCGCCGTCATGCGGCCACCAATATTGGCCTGCATAAGATTATCCAAATCTGGTGTGCCATCAGGTGCGCCGTCCTCCGAAAGGGCAAAGAATGGGTTGATGCTCGTCCGACCCCAGATGCGACCAAGTGGACTCTTTGAGGGCTTGATTACCCTACACTATCCAGAGACAAGCTGAGCTGGGCTGTCATGGGCAGCAAGAAACCTGCTGGCCTCAATACCTGGCCACGCTGGCAATGCAAACGCACTTGGACGGATCGTGCCTATGCACGCGGCCGCCATGGGAAAGGGAGCATAAGCGCTTGAAAGGGGCTTGCTGTCATGGCCATTGATGATGCTTGATTGGACAATGGATACCAGGGTTGACCTCATATTCGCAAGGGAGACGGAGGAGGGGTAAAACCTGGACATCAACTCCAAAGTCCCTCGTCTCCTTCATAGGCGAGTCTCATCTACGCTTCCTCGTCAGGGAGAATCAAAATGAGCAGTGTTCGAGGGGTCAATTCCAACAGGGGATCGGCGATGAGCTTCTTCACTTCGCTCATAGCAGTGGCATTGAAATATTCGTCTGTTGATCTTATAAAATGCCATCATCCAACCTGTCTCTCGCTACGCAAAAGCCACATGCTCGGCAAACCGGATTACATCCTCCAAGGTTCCCCGCACAGAGACGCAACAGGGGAGAGGTGATGTGATGTGATGAGGTCGAGATACCGGCGATCTAGTAGAGCTCCATCTTCTCGAGATGGATGAGACCGTTTGGTGGCTAGATCTGAATCAGCCTCGGAAAATCGCCAGTAGGACGGTATCAATCTCGTCTAGAGATCTGGCTTAGTAGGGGTTCAGATACTCACTGGTATGAACTGTCTCAGCTTCACGCCCGCCTCCCTAAACACACGGGCAGTCTCGTTGTCCATGCTATACCCATGGGCGTAGACGACCTCACTGATGCCCACC